ATATTGGGTGTGCCAATTAATTTTAAAGGATTTTTGTGTGAAAAGATACATTTATTTAAAAACAACTGTACAATATTTTTTAACCAATGTATTGCCCATCGTTAGCTATGACTTCCGCCCATCTTCTTGGTAACTTGTCGATTCCGCGTCGAAAGAATTCCTCATCTTTTGACGCTATCCATTCATCGATCCATTTTCGCACTCCTTCAGGATTTCGAAACGATATCTCAGACAAGCCCATTTGCATTGATCGAAACAAGTGGTAGTCAGAAGGGGCAAGGTCTGGAGAGTACGGGGGGTGATCAAGCTCATCCCGACCAGAGTCTCTTATCTTATTTCTTGCGATGTTTGAAATATGTCAAATTTTGATAAATCCTTCGACTATTTCTTGTCGCAGTTTTTTTCAATTTTTCTCTCAGTACTCTGCTCAAACGTATTGGTTGTAGTCGATACCGATCCCCCGTGACTGTTTCACCCGGTGTCAGCAGCTCATTATACACCACACCACTTTAATCCCACCAAATAATAAGCATTACCGAGAAATCATCAAAATCCTGCTATGCTGTCGATTTTGAGGATTGTGTGGGATTGAACCCTTATTTTTTTATCCTTGGGGCTATCGTAGCAGATATATCTTCACTTCCAGTTACAATACGATACAAAAATTCCTTTCTTTCCTATTTTTGGAACGTTGTGCCAAAATATGAAAAAACGTCTTACAACTAGTTTTGGATTCAGCTGGTGTGGCACACAATTTCTTTGGTCTTACCTCATTATAAATGTCTTAAAATGATTGATTCGCATATATTTAATGCTTTTGATGTTTTCTGATGCATTTTCATGCATCTTTATCGAATAAAAAACGCCAATAGCCCATCATTCAATTTTTTTTGGTGAGTTCGCAGTTTTTCAACAAATTCACCACTTCTTTTTCACCAAATTCAACATTCTCTGTGGCGATTGAGAGGTCTCGTCTCCTGCAACATTTTATAACCTTTAGATCTATTTTCACTTTGATTAAAGTGAAGAAATTGAACCAAAGGAGAGCCAGACAGAAAAACACTTTTTCATCACTCATTTTGAATCGATCAGAAAATAATGACACTATGTCAAAAATAAATCTTTCTGCTCTGAATTAGATTGGCAAATGTCACATGTACAAAATGCAATTGGATTCACCCGTCAAGCTACACACAATTTTAAGTTACGCCATCTCTTATCAATCCTTTAAAATTAATTGGCACACCCAATACATAAGATACAACAATAAATTATTCTAAATTATTAAAATTTGATCGTGGTCTATATTCCATGTGTAATGAATTTAGTATTTTTCCGTAAAAGTTTACGATGGAAGTCCAATGTTAAATGTGTATACAATAAGCAATTGTTGGAGCAAATTCATCTATTATCGGGCATATGTTGACGGTCAATATTGGGGTTTGATTTGTGTGTAGTTTCAGTCATTTTTCACACACAATTTAAATTGTACAAAGCCACAGAATCAAAGCTTTGAAAATGTTTGTTAGTTTTAAAACTATGTATTAATAATGATGATCATGTTATCATGCTCGGCGCAATGATGGTTTTGTCTGCTTTTGATGGATATCCGGCCTTTTACGTTCTGGATTCAATACAAATTGTTTATTTTTTATTTGCGTCAAATGAATAATTAGAATTGAAATATAAAATTAAAACTTGACGTTGTATTGAGTCGGGTTCACATTATAGTGTAGAATATGGAATCTGTATTCTTTATTGGAAATTTATCTACCTTCTATTTGACACGAAAATGACCACCAAAATAGTTCAGGGCGTTACATTTTTCAACGTTAAAATGGATAAAAAAAACGTTACAATTTTATAAATACATGAACATTTCGGTTGTAGTGAGAATTTCAAGTAAAAAGTCCAAATGAATGTTGTATGAATTTGTGCTTATCATTATGTTCATTGCCTGACTTTGGTGAAGAGTGACTTTGTGGCTGTAGTTTATGCGCCCCTGAATCATTTGAATGAAAATATTTTTCCTCAAATATCATGTTCTAATAGTAACATTCAGAAATGATAACACAAATATAATATGCTTTCTATGTTTATTTTGAAACAACAAATTTCTTTAATTTGTTAATTACGTTATGTAAAAAGATACTTTGATTATTTCCGCCTTGGTCTAAATGTTGTGTAATTATCGTTGCCTTTTAATTTATAAGGTATTTTCATTTATGCCTGCTTGATCTTGTAAAGTGTCAGGTTTCGCTAGAAGAAAAATAAAATAAAAATAAAATGTGTCGATATATTTTTTTCCTTTTAGTCTCACCGGTTTGACTTGAACTACCTAGGGATAATCAGAAGAAAAGAATGAGAAAATGGAAATGTATTAATAAGTAATGGAATAGAATGGAAAATTGAATTATAAAAGAAATAATATATGAGAAAATCAATAACCACAATAACATAGAGATTTTGTTATAGTGTTGAGCTCAATGATATTTGTTGATTCCATCACAGTGTGGAAGAAAAAAATGCAATTAATATGTCCCCGGTACCTCTACTACTACTTCTAGTTAAAGTGTTTCTGTGTCGCTATATATTTTGATTTCTTCAATTCATTCTTTCTCTAAATTCTTTTGAATTTTTTTCACTATTAAATTCTATTATTTCACTATAAAATCAATATTTTTCAGCTTAAAATCGACTTGAATGCCAATAAAAAAATGTTAGATTGATCCAGACAGACAGTTCTACCGTTTGCAATGGTCACTCGATTTGATTTGTAGCTGTTGTATTAGTCTGTCTCCCCTTTGCTTCAACAGAATCGCATTTGTCGCCCTGTTCTAATTTTCTAACGTTATTTGCCACTCGTTGTCAGTATCTGAAAAATATACATATCAAATAATATTTCACTTTGAATATTTAATATGACAAATTTCGTATCATTCAAATCCTTTAAATCGTAAAGCTATAGAATTTGAATTTTTTGAACAACGAATTTAAAATCAGCCTAAAGAATATTTATCAAAACGCTGCTCAGACGTTCTCTTACATCATTTTAGAAACTGTGATTCAAATATGGTCTTAGATATTCTGTGGGGAAACAATCAATTTTTAATTCAATTGCCGTTCTCTGAATCGAACAAATGTTTATGAATATATAAACGATTTTTACCTAGGGCGTAGACACCGTTTGCAAATGAAAAATATACAGCTAATCCATGATTCTCCCTATTCTTACTATTCTCACTATTCCGACGATTCCCAAACATTCAATGATCTAGTTTATATTCTGTTTGTACAGTTTTTTTGTATACAACGATAACATTTAATTTCAATCTGAAACATTGAAATTTAATATATTTTGTAATTTTGAGAAATTTAAATCGAAAACTAACACAATTTAATAAAAATTAACACAAATTTAACATTTATATTTCTAATAACTTCATGTTTTGTATACGTATATAAAATCGTTGGTTGAAACTGTCAAAACACCATCAACGAACTTATATCTGCATTTACAGTTTTATAAATGAACTTATTTATATTCATAAGTCGTACAACAATTTAAATGATTTTAGTTCATAAATTTGATACCAATTATAACAAAAAATATTTAATTTACAGTGTTTTCAATAAATAAAAATTACTTCATTAAATTTTTAAACCAATTTTAGTAAAAAAACACGAAGTGTTTTACGCTAAAAATCAAATTCCCCGATTTCCACTATTCCGACGAATCCAACTATTACGAATCCGAAGCAAACGACGATCTTTAATCCGAGTGTCCAAACCCTAGATTTTTACCCATCAAACAACGATGAAACACGCAGAGGTTATTGGTTAAACGCAATATTTAAATCAGTAATGTGCGAAAGGGGAGAGGGGCGGTTACCCCCTTCCCCTGTGACTTCCAAATTCATCCGATTTGCTAGGGATTTTCGTCCGAAATGAAATTTTCTTCGATTTCCTAGGGTTTTTTGAAGAAAATTTTGAAATCACATATCCTCTACTGATTTAAATCTACTCATCAGAACCTCTTTCTCTCTCTGTTCGCTGCACCATGTTGTGAATTTGACGTTATTCTGATGATATTGTGTGTACAACGGGTCATCTCTCTACTACAAAATCTCAATTTTTGTCAGCAATCTGTTTGCTGTCGCGAATTTGGTTTCTTTTATATGTGTGTGGTGAAGCTATATAGTTTCTTACATTCTATTGGTTTTCAATCATCTCTCACTTACTCAAGACGCACACACACTCTATCTCACATACACTATGTTTCCACCATCATCATCGTCATTTGAGAATCTCATAGTAAATATTAGAATTAATATGAATGACGATAATGGAAAAGAATTTAAGGAATGGATCAGAATTGTAGAGTAATAGAATACTAATTATTAAGTGATTATACCTTGTCGAGTACTCTCAACAGACAATGATGTACTGTTTATTGAACTACTCTTGTTATCACACTGCTGTTGATTAACATAAATTTCATCTTGATATGATATTGGTTGATGTTCATTCTTCAAATTTTCATATGCTTGTTCTTCAGTCCAATCGTTGTGTTCAAGAGAAGTATTCACTTCAGTCTCTAATACATTTTCAGATAAAGAATTTGATCTTTCTTCAATGAATAAATTTGGATTTTTAATCCGGATAGAATCAACTACATCTAGCAAGTTTTTCGCATCCATTGCTAACACATGAGCAGCCGATAGCATATTCCTAATTTAAATAATATTTATTATGTTGAAAATAATTCTTATGTAAGCTTTACTTTTTATTACTGTACAGCATTCAGTAATTCATAACTTACTTCCGGTATTCAACATCCAACGTTGTATCGTTATATTGTTGAGCCAAGCGCATCGTTGAAACTAGCTCGGACATATCTTTTGCTAGAATTTTATGGGCCATTTCAACTTCTCTGTGAATTGAAATAGAATAAAATAATTTTTATACATAAATTCAATGAAGAGAAAAACTTACTTGAGAGCTTGCTGAGGGAAAACCGAGGCTAATTCATCAACCGATGAAAGGAGAGTCCTAAGTTCGACACCAACATATCGTACTAAATCTAAATATTCAACGACAACTGCCTTTTCCACACCTTGGGTTAGGTACATTATTGCTTTTACCTAAAAAATGCAATTATATAGAAGGCTTGTTATTGGAAATTAAAAAGGATTAATAAGAGCAAAGCATTGGTATTGACCACGAATAAATTTGAAATCGCTTGGGCAAAAAAATATTGCTTAGATTTACGATTTGGTAGTTGCAATCGATTATGTAGAAAAAAATGTGAATAACTATAGGATAGTAAGAGTCCTATGGAAACTTCCTAAACAAAAGGAACAAGAGAAATAAACAAAAGGAACAAACAATAAATATTGCATAGTAGGGTGTTCCAAAATCCGAAAGTGTTTATAATCATCGATTTCTATCCGGATTCATATATTCCGAGGAAAAATAATATGTTCTGCCTTTAAGGATTTATTATTATTGATGATTATGATGATGACGTTCAATAGTGCAGAGCAAAATATTTATGTTTTCTGTGTGCAGTATATTTTACCAAACACTTAAATTGAGAGTATTACAGGAGTAAGACGAACTTTTATTAAGCTAGCTCAAAATAATATTTGTTCGAATATTTAAAACCTTTCAAGCGGCGTAAAGTTGGAGACCAAAAAATATGTTCGGCATCATATTCTTTAATTTAATAGCAGAAGTACTCGCAAAAGATTTTTCACACTTTCATTATGAAACCATTTTAAATAACTTTTCTGTGGGGTGAGGTAATCGATGGGAAAATTTTGCGTACAGAGGATAACGTACGATGTGGAACAGACCCACAACAAACATGCTGAAAACGGCCTGATTAGGGTTCTTTGATCTCGAAAACGCCCAGAAAACATGTTTTTGAGGTGTCGTAAATTTTGACCCATTGTCAAAGTTTTTCGATACAATCAATTTCTGATTCAGTTTCTTTGGAAAAATCACAAAAAACTGACATCCTAGTGACGTAAAATTTTGCACAGGTCTTTTTTTTCACTGCAGACATACATTTTAGGAAAATATCCGATCAATTTCGAATCAACAAAATGCAATCAATGAATGAAATGTGAAAAATAACTCTTGTCGTAAATATGTTTGCAATTACCAAATCTGTAGATTTTTGCAATATTTTTGCTAACGCGAAGATATATACTTTCATAGATATATTAGAAAATTGCTTTTACCACACTTGTTGTTGCATTATAAACATTGTCATTAGATCGATCAATAGTTAATGTTTTTGATATATTCTTTTGTTGATTTTGTTCTGCAGTTGAAATGTTCTGCTCCTCGTGCTCTGAGTGCTTTAGTTGCCCATGAAAACTACCTGACAATTGTTCATTACTGGTTTGTGTACTTGAAACTGAACTCAATCGTTTTTTCTAATAAACAAAAATCATCACAATTTTATTTCGTTAATTTAGTATTTTTTTAGTTTCTTCGTATTTTCATTACCATGTTGGTCTCTTCTTCCTGTAACCATTTAGAATCGACTTCACTTTCAAACTTCTGTTTTCTAAGCTTTACATCGAATTTATTTGGAGCAGACTGTTGAAAAAAAAATTAACAACATTGAGTTATAGGATTGTTCATTTCTTAAACAAATTACATGCATCATATTTTCTCAATAAATGTGGAAAAGATGTATAAAATTAAAAAATAATGATAAGTGAAATTTAAGATTGTGGTTTCGAGAAATAAGCCAAATTTGTTTTTGGATTGCCTAGTGTTCGCCACCAAACACCTACGAATACCCATATGCTCGTTCGTAGGCTTTAAAAAATTAAATATCTTCGGAAATTAAAAGAATTGTTTTTGATCGTTCATTCGTACAAATGTTGTACTTGTCAAAAATTCGCTTCTATCAACAAATAAATTACTAATAATTAAAAAATGTATAAATTCCATGAAGTTTGTTCATTTGCGATTGAGCCAAACTGTTGGTATTTTCAGATATTCATTATACTAAATTGTGCCTTTTGAATTTTGTCAACTTATTCGAAAATGAGTCTTTCAAAATTCTTTTAGACGAAACATGCTTTTACAACTACTGAAAATCCAAACCTGACACGAATTCGATTCATCACTTGCATCAGATGTAAAACTCATACTCATCATTTTATTTTGAAAAGAATTTATAACGTTAAATGGTACGGGTGATAAATTAACATTCGACCACATAGGATACATTGGTGTATAAATAGTATTTGACGAATGATTTTTATGAGCTGTGAGGAATAGAAAAAATACATTTTCATTTTTATATGGACAAAACCAAACAATATGAACTTTTTAATATTTTTAGTGAATTGAGAAGTTTCACGTGAGAGGGAAAAGTTTTGCTGATTATTTTTAAAGTCGAATAAAATAATAAATGGAATAATTGCAATGGAAAAAGGTACCATGGAGCTGCGGCTGCTGCTCCTGTTGTTGATTTGGCTGACATCCTGTTCAAAATAATTAATTTGAATAATATTATTCAGAAAGATAAATAAAATGAATCTACTAAAATGTGTTCAATTATTAAAGAACATTAAAGACGTTTCGTAAACCTGTTATATTTTGAACATGATGTAAACTCAATTTTGGCGATATATTTGAGTTGGGAGATTTGTTTGAGATTGCCCATTGTTGTAATAATGTATCTGCGGGGACAAGTCCTTTTGAAATACTTTTACTCAGTGCAATGCTAGCGCAACTTTTCACATTTCCTCCAAAGTCATAAATTGATTCTTGAATTGGTTCCGAAGATTCTACAACTTTAGTAGCATTTGATTATCAAATTGAATGATTGCATTTCAAAGAGACAAACAAAAAACTTTCAATTAATAAACTCAACTTTGTGAACAGTTTTCATAAAATCCAAGGATCAAAAAGTTTCAAAAGAAGTGTGGTACATTTCAAAAGATTTCAAAGTGTTTAAAAATAGAATTTCACAACTTTTGTTTTATGTAAAATAATAGATGCATGAGTTTTTATAAAAATGAGGCGAACTCCCTCCATAGCAATGATTTTTGCATTATAGTTTATGATATTCGTATTATATAGGGTTGTCGAATTGCATGTAAATGTACAGTTAAATCTACAGATTCATTGGACCCAAACGAGTAAAAAAGTGTTTAAGTTCCATTCTATTTTGGCAAAAAATTTAAACAATCGAACAGTTGGCACAAATAAATTTCTGAAATATGTTATTATAGGGGAGGTAGGAGCAGACTGATACAATTTTTTTCAATTGAGAATATTTTAGCCAAATGAAAAGATATTGGAAAACTTTGGATACCGTTTGAAAGATGATTGAAAGCCCTTACTTTCTGCCTCATTAGATTTTTTATTGTTGATGTGACTTACGCCACGGGCCAAAAGTTTGAAGTGATACACCTCGATTTTGTGATTTTTTCACGTGATTTTGTTTCTTATTTTCCTATTATTGCGTATGGTATTTAAAAGTCGCATTTGTTTTTGGTCATTAAATGTTATTTTGTTTCTGTTTTGGATAAAAGAGTTGAAGAAAAAGTGATATACATGTAAAAAGAAATATATGAATGACAAAAATAAAAAAAATGAATCGAGAGCCTATCTTTCATTTCAATGTCGGAATCAGATTCGTCATAATAGTTTGTAATGTCTTCCAAAAAACTAATGATGAACCATTTCTGCTTATCACTGTGAAAACATAATGCAAACATGTTCAATCTACGTATTGATCCTCGAGTTTTGTTTAAAAATCAACCAAATTTACAAACAGAACGCGTAAAAATCTCGTACAAGTACTAAGAAAATACATAAAATACGAAAAAAGCCAAATAAAATATTTTAGAAATGATAAAAATTGCAAACATTGCGAAATACTGCTGTATCACTCTGCCCCTAAGCATGTTTTTCACTTTCGGTCGAATTTTTTCAGCAACGCGTGGATAAAATCTTAAATCCTTATTATTAAATGAAAGCAGGCTTTAATAGCAACAAATTATATTCACCTCAATCCTGGCATATGTAAAGAAATTAAAAAAAATCGAGATTCTAAAGTGTGAAAAAATGGTAACGGTATGTGCCGAAAACACAAACTTGATTGTACGACGACTCTCGTTGTTCCGACGTATTGAGTGTGTCTTTGCGGATTTGAATACAACAGTTTGACATTTTGTGCTACCGTTTTAAAAAAAATTATGGTGTATCAGTGTGCCCCGTGTATCACTCTGCCCCCATTATCCCTACATGTTAATCAACAAACGGCTTAAAAAAACTCGGTTAGTACAGTTGATTATCCATAAAAATTGGATAAGTGGTTTCTGAGTGACCTTTATGCCTAATAAAAATGTACATATGAACGCTCTAGAATAAAAACAACGTACTGAATGGTTGTTATATCAAAGCGGAACACGGCGTTTTTTATATATAATTGTTGTTGTATTACAACAATGTTACAAAAAAATGCAATCAAATATAAAAATAATTTGTAATAATTCTAAAATATTCCAAATAATTCAAACCGCTTAAATATCAAATGATTTCATGGTTAAAATTATTCAATTCAGTTCAACTAAACAATTATATATGTATTTATCAAATATAATAAATGGAAAATTTAGGTAAACAACATATATACAGGGTGTGCCAGTGAAACTGATATTTTTTTTTGTATTTAAAAAAACCTATATTTTTCAACTGAATTGAAAAACTATTTTTATGTTACGTATAAATAGACAATATATTTTTTAATTCACCAGTCAGATTCAATTTTCCAAATTTTTTGATTGGTTTGGAGACATAGACGCGCATTGATGTGCTGAAAAATTTGAACCGTGACACGCAACTATTTTTTAGGGAAATATTTGATCTGGCTGTGGCCAAGTCTCCAAACACAGATACTTTTTCTTATGTATCATAAATTGTTGATGCCTAAGGAAGTAAAATAACCGGCTAGCAAAACCAAAATATTTGTAAGTTGGCCACGCCGAGCCAAAATATCACATAACCTCAATTTCCCACATTTTTCATAAAAATGGCTCAAAATTGATGTTTGAATGATAAATGTTACGCAAAAACGGTTTTAAATAGTTGGAAACATTCTTATTCATAAGAATATCACCATAAAATATCATACCAGTGTGTATATGTGTTCATTTTCGAGATGAATGTCGTCGAATAGTGATAATATGGATCCCGGCGCGCAACTTCAACCAATTTTTTTCAGCCAAATGTGTGATCTACGTGCGGCCAAGTCTCCAAACACAGATAGTTTTTCTTTTGTATCATTAATTGTCGATGCCAAAGGAAGTAAAATACCTGGCCAGCAAAACCATAATGTCTTTATATTAGCTACGCCAGACTCATGTTTAATATAACCCTTTTTTTCCTTATTTTTCAGAAAAAAGCTTAAAATTCATTCTTTGAATAAAAAATATTTTCTAAAAACTATTCTAAATAGTCAGAAACATCTTAATATCTCCAACAACTAACAACATATTAATTTCATTGAATTATCATTTTCCAACTAAAAATGGCCAAACATTGATTTTCAGCCAATTGGCCTGAATTTGTCGCCAAAGGCACATGTCTAATGTCGATTCTAAGTTGAAATACAGTATATAATTTTGTTTTCTGCCGCATGTTGTAAAGGCATTAGGGATCGAAGATTGCGAATATAGACAATTCCCGTGCATTCATTACACACAACTTATAATTTCGGATCGATGTTTCTCAAAAATGATGCGTGCAGCGACCGATCATTTTCTGGCACATTTATGTCTCTAAACCGAACAAAAAAATTGAGAAATCAAATTTGGTTGGTGAAATAAAAATATATAGACCAGCTCTACATAACACAAAAAAAAATCTGAATTTAACTGAAAAATATGCTTTTTTCAGGCATATATAAAAATATCAGTTTCACTGGCACACCCTGTATATGAACTGTATAGTTGAATTGAATAAAATATTGCCAACATTGAAATCAATTCTCACTTTCAAGCAGTTTTATCTATCGAAAAGTATATAATAAATTCTCTAATGCGCAATGTCTTATCTTCAGTGATTTGTAGAAAAAACTATATTTGTGAAACAAAAACGAATGACTGAAAAAACTACTGAACATTTAAAGAGATAAATTAATGAAAAAATTGAAAAGATAATTAAAATTTAAACTGATTGAATGTCCAGTATGTAACAAATTATATGCAACTTCCGATTTTTCTCGCTAATTTTTTGATGTGTGTATTTGATATTCCTTCTCTCAGAAAATTCAGATGTTAAAATTCAAAGTAATCAGAGCAAAATGCGATTTTAAAATGACGACAAAATTCCAATTTAACATTTAGATATTTTGTCACATGTTAAAATGCCGTTTTACCCGCAAAGAAATGTGTTGCGGATAAAATTGAATTTTACCATGTGACAAAATTTCTTTATGTTAAAATGGCATTTTGTCGTCATTTTAACATGGAGATATTTTTTCACTCGCAAAGAAATTTGTTGCGTGTAAAATGGCATTTTACCATGTGAAAAAATACTCTCATGTTAAAATGGCATTTTGCTCTGATTACTTTGAATTATTGCTCTTCGCAATTGGTCACTAGTGAAAAATACAGCTGTATTGAGTGTATTCCCGATTTCTTTTCCATTTTGTTTGTATAACATTATTTAAGAAAGAACACTCAAAGTAAAACGTATTTAGTTATTTTGACCAAAAGTCATCATAAACTTTTTTCCTAGTTTGAGTTCAAGTGAACACCTCTGTAGTAGAGAATTTACTTGTAATTCCATAACACCCTGTATTCATATATCATAATAATAACAAGAAATATGAAATTAATATTTATCCATGTAAATGTATTTTTTTAACACATTCATCAGCGATAATTCATTTCAAAAAATTACAAAACTTTTTGTAATATACCACATATCTGGATATATATTTTTTGTTGTACCTTTGCTTTTTCGTTCTATACTTCCACGAGAAATTTTTTCTGCATTCTTTGGATTGAAGCTTGATTCCCCGTGTTTATTTTCAAATGACATATATTGAACAGATAATGGTTGACAAAGTTGCTGTTTATTTTTGTATTCAAAACTATTCATATGAAATCCATAATTTACTGTTCCTATGCGAGCAGTTCCACGTTCCAGACTAGCTGAACGAGAATTTCCAGAGAAATTACACCCAGTATAGTTGTTACAGGTTGATACTTCAATACCCGAACTAAATTGACGCGTAAGAGAATTCGATCTGGGGTTTTTTGATTGAGCAAAATTTTTCCCAAGATCTATTCGTGATGTATATGTTACATTTCTTTCTAAGCTTCGTGATTTCTGAACTGAAACTCCATTATTTGGAGTAAAATCATTTTTTGAATGCGTGAGAGATGGACAAATATTTGCTTGTAATGCTGTATAAATTGGATGAACTTGTTGCATTTTTGTGTTAATTATTTCACATGGAAAACTGGGAATAATTTTTGAATTAGAATTATCACTTTGTGGTTGTGTGTAAGATTCAAAAGTCGTGATCTTTTCGTCGGCGTTATTTAACATAATGAAATTCTTATTATTTATATGTAAATTATCATCCATCATTGGATTGAGTTTCAAAAGCTCTGAAGCAGGCAACATTACCGTTTTGAGTGGTAACATAGGCATTTCTCTAGTAATTGGTTCACTTTTAGAAGCATCAACATGTACACCCAATGTATTAAAAACCGTTGCGGGTGTGTTATAAGCTGAAGGATTGAGAGGGCGATTTTCATTTTCTCGCATCAACTGTCGTAAAACTGCCGCATTTTGAGCTATGATATATGTCTGTGGAGCCCCAGAATTTTCACCAGATATCATTGATGTTGAGTTGGTTTGTGGAACTCGGGACGGTTTTGAGGGTGGTACATCATCTCCTGCAACCTGGAGGTAAATCACGAAAGAAGAGAAAAAATGTTATGTTAATTCTCATTTCTTTTAATAATAGAATCAATTTTTTTATGAAAACCAAAAAAATAAGATATAAAATTACTATATCTAATTTTATGTTGTCTTTTGACTATGTGAACTTTATTGTTGTCTACCAACCGTGGATTTTAATTTTAAGTTGCAAGTCAAAAACAGTTCAATTCAATGATTTCCAAAAAATTAAAATATGTTTTATAAATTTCTTGACATGAGGTGCCTCAAATGACGTAAAAGAATGAATTTGAAGTAGTCTTTTGAAAATTTCATTGACCGTAAGTCTAAGTGAAAGTTTTAATTTGCCATATTCATTGCTAAAATACATTTTCGCAACGTTATTTGAATATTGAGTAATAGTATGAGGATATTTATCCCAAATAAATCACAATTTTCTTTTAAAAATGGTTTCGACACTGGAAATTCTTCACATCAATAAAGGTTTTTTCGTTTCATTTACGTTCAAGTTAAAATTTACTTACAGGAATCTCCATGGGTCCACAGCCCCATGACATTGCAGCAACTCTTCTATTTTCCCGCTTCATAGTCTCACAATCACTCACTCGTTCCTCTAACAGTATTTCACTGGCGGATAAAATATTTTATTAAAAAAAGTAATTTTTATTTTCAAGTAATAATTTTTTTGAATTACTTTCAAATTTATATAATTTTTTTACTTACTACATAGTTTCTTTAATTGATTTAAAATCTGGTCTTTTGGATGGCTCATATGCCCAGCATTGTGACATTAAGGAGTAAAGTCGAGGTGGACAATTAATAGGAAGGGGTAATCTTTCACCGTTTTCTAACTTGCTAATAACATCACTATTTTTAACTCCTTGGAAAGGCTTAATACCGAGCATCAAGATTTCCCAAATGCACACTCCAAACATCCACACGTCAGATGCTGTGGTGAATCGACGGAAGTTTATAGATTCTGGAGCCATCCACTTAATAGGTAACATTCCTTATAACCAAAATAAATACAGTTTCATTTTCATTCCATTGAAATTTATGTACACACAAAAAACAGTATCACTAAAATTGTTTAAATATTCTGGTATATTGCAAATTTACCAGCAGTCGTCAAAATATCTATTGGTATTTTTATACAATCGCCACTATAACAGCATAGTTGACACTTAATACTTGGCACGATGGACCAAATCTCAAATGCGCTAACCAATAAACATTTACAAAACAAAATACCAATAGACATTTGCACAAGTGTTGGTAAATTTGCAATATACCAACACATTTACCAACAATGCTACTACTAGTGTTTTGTGTGTGTAATTATGCATATAATTTACGTTTCATTTTTCTCCATTTCTAAACTTGTTGAGCAAAAAACTGGTCTTCACTTTCGTATGTATATTTCTATGTCCATGTTTGATATGAACCCCACTTGAAATGAAAATGTGTAAAACTAAAACACAGCGTTTTTTATGTATGTATATTGTACAATCGCATTAAAAAATACTGTGTTTCACTTTTACAGATTTTTATTTCAAGTCGAGTTTTTACCCTAACCCAATCAATGTTAAATCAACACTAACCTTTACCAGAATGATAGTATGACTGATCTTCGACCTAAAACAGAGTAACAAAAGGAAAAAAATGGAAAAATTATCAAAGTAAAAAGAAGGTCTTTTTTTAATAAAAATAAGCCGGATAAACTTAAATGCGCGTACCCATCTCGATAAACCAAAATCAGCCAATTTAATGCATTTTTGTGAGCTGACCAATACATTTCTTGCAGCAATATCTCGATGTACAAATTTTTTTGATTCTAAGTAACTCAAAGCAGTCGAAAGTTGATAGCAATACAATAAAAGTGTTCCAAGTTTCAATCTGTTCAAATATTGTGTGGAGATAATTAATTTTAAGGTAGTACTAGAAGTAGTATGAATATAACTTCAACATACTTTTTAGCATGGGCACGCAAGTAAGCACGAAGTTCACCTTAATTAAATCAAATATGAAATAAATATGTTTTAATCCAGAGGCAAATAAAAAACCGCAATCGAAGTGAAGAACGAGTGATAATACTAAAAATGTATGACACAAAAATTCTGATATCGATTTTGCAACGAAAATACTTTGTATGTAATTTTCCGTATTTCGTTAATAAATATTCAAGTTTAATACTTAAAAATTCAAGTTTCAGAACGATGATCGTTAATAGAAACTTTCTTCCTTCGATTATTGCCAAACACAGTGAAGCATCGTTCCAATAATATCATACAAAATTACAGGGGGAGGAAAATTTTTTAAGCCTGATATAGGAACACACATTGTATTTTTAAATGACTATATTTATTATTTAAAGTAGTCTCCATGAACACGAATGACACTTTCATATCGATGCTTCAATGCTTTAATTCCTCCTTCAAACCACTCGGCATCTTTGAAGTATGTTGTAAATACTCTTCTCTGAGATGTCAAACATTGCTGCTAACACTTTCTTGCTCATTCGAAGATTTTAGTGCACGTGATGTTCAATTTTTTGCATTACATCTGAAGCTGTTGCTTTAATTGGTCGACCTGTATGAGGATCATCTTCCAATCATTCTCTACCCCACTTGAATTGTTTTGCCCATAGTTTTACTGTGGCATGCGATGGGGCAAGGATCCCATAAACAGCACGCAAGCGATCATTGATATCCTTTGGTGTCACACCTTCTTCTGTGAGAAACTTAATCACCGCACGATATTCGATTTTATCCATTTTTTCAAAAATATCGAGGTTACTTGGTATGCAATGATGTTGAAAACAAACGACGACAGATATCAACTCAATTTTTTTCTACAATACCATTGACAGTTCGTACGTCAATTACAGCACAAGAACAATTTGTAACTAGTGCCGTCTATATGTCAGGCTTAAAAAATTTTCCTCCCCCTGTATATTTCAGCATTTTTTCACTATATTTTTATCATATTTATTCTCACTCAGTTATTCATATTTTGAGTAAATTTTTAAAACATTCACCAAATCGGGCCAATTCCATTACAATCCAAATTGGAGGTTCACTGCATATTCCAATTAGGCGTATTATATGGGGATGTTCGAACTTCTGCATTATATCTGAAATTAAATGATCATTACTATGTTTCATAGAATCTATTTATAAGCAATGGAAAATGGATTAATATAAGTGAAACGTATGATAGTGTAAGTTGAAATAATGTGCAATGAAAATTTCTTCTAATTTATAAAGGGGTCATTTCAAACTTTTCAAAAATTGTGAGGGGGTTTACGTAGCTTTTAGTGTAAAAATAAGGAGTTTTTTATTCCATCCTGATGAAAATTTATGATAGGTGGGAGATAGTCCTTCAAAATCCCTTGTAAATCGCAAGATTTTTCTCGTAAAAACTCTAGTAAATCTAAAGAATTTTCCAAAAAGTCCATTCTGTCTAGTGCAAACACCTTCTCATTCAGAAAGAGTAGATTTGTAAAGGTAATTGCAATAAAGTTCGTCTAATTTTTAAAGGGGTATTGTCAAAATGCGATGCCTCAGAGGGGGGAATTCCCCTTTCCACCCCCAGATATGGTTGGTAGGTACGCAAAGTAGATAATTATTACACCCATATTCGGGCGATATCCGGTCATGACCGTCGGATTGTTACTGAACCGAAAATATTTGTACATAATTTTTCCAATTTTCTGAGTTGAGTATTTATTTGAAACGTTGGTTCATTGCATCATAATAGACAATCTTTAATAAAGACTGACAATAAAAAAATGCCATTTCTATAAAGTTTTAAATATGCAGATGTATAACTTATTCTAGGGGGTAGACACCTATGAATCCAGTGTAAATTATTTGATTTCTATGAAATCTTTGATTCTTGCGATTTCGGTGATTTCTCGATTCCAAACCTCTAATACAAAGCTAATTTCACTGTGGTAGTGTGCGCCTATAGTAGAAGTCGCACACATAGTCTGTGTGCGGTACAATATACATAACATTTGACAGAAATCAAAGAAATCACAAAAATTGAATTCTGCGATTTCTGTGATTTTAATGATTTTTGTGATTTTCTGTGAGTTTTGATTCCACGTGTCTACCCCCTAGAACTTATTTAAAAAAATGATTCATTGAAAAATTATATTGCATTTCGGTTTCGTCACTCGATCTTCACCTCGATTTTTTTTCCCTTAAACTCCTAGTGGAGCATAGGGCCTTCAGATAAGAATACTTATCTTTCTGGTTTCTGTTGATCACATTTCTGTTGAATGACACAGTATTTCATGACTATACAATGTTCTAAACGGTCACCCATTTATCTCCTGACCAAAGCTTGTGCAGCTTAACTCAGTTGATCGAATAGTGCCGCAGTAGTCGTAGTAGCCACTGTTCCCACAAAATCTTCACCTCGATAGACATTTTATAACCAAAATAGTTCTTTTTTCCCCATTATTATTTTACTTACAAGCTTCTTCTAAGAATTTCTCGGATGTTAGCAAGTCAGCATCCGCTTTACAGGTTTTGACAGCAACATTTATCATGGTTTTCTCCATCTCATTATCATTGGGTTTCAAAGCTTTATCAATGCTATTGTTAGAATCATCGGGTTGTATTGGTTTTGGCAGTTGTATAATACGACATGTTCCTATATGGACATCGCCAAATTGTCCAATGCCAATAATATCATTCAGAGTTATTTGTGTTCTATCCACTTCATAATTGCGAACGGCTGGTTGTGAATAATCGTTATCTATAAATGGGAAATTATGCACAAATTAAAAATCTATCATATATTATAATAAGAATGAATCAAAAACGAAAATGTTCAGGATAGAATTTGAAGGGCACTGTTCAATTTGATTTCAACTTGATTAGTGCAGTAATTTTAAAATGATTAAATTGACTCTATAGTTGTAATTATTTCACCTTCGATTAAATTTACCTTCTTCTTCTCCCAGACCAATATCAACGTAATCCTCACTCATTATTGGCACTGGTGTGTCCATTTTTATCATTCCAATTGATGTATGTAGTGAACAAGCGTTTTTTGAACCAAAATCTTCCAGTGCTATGTAGGAAAATTATTGATATTGTAAAAGGTTTTCTTCACATATGAAAAATGAAAATGTCTTACAATTTCCGTTTTTTGTATGATCTTGTTGTACCATGATTTCTGGATTAGATTTTTCTTTTGTGTCGTTTGGTATAGAAGATCGATTCCATAAACTTATTTTAGTATTTTTCATTATACGACAATAACCGTCCACCAAATCTGCTATACTATCGGCTGTTTTTACACCGTTACAAGTAATGGCTAAATCATCCGAGTGACCCTTGACTTTGATTTTTAATAGAGTTTTGATTTCATTACATGAACAAGAGATTGTATTTTGATCATCCAATGTTTGTCCGTTGGCACCTTGACCATTATTGCTATTGATTTTATGTAATTCATCACTCTTTTTTTGTTCTGTACATGACATTTGAATCATTGATGTTGAAATCTTTTCAATATTTTCAAAATTGGTCACACGTATAGGGCTCGCTTGCGGATGAGTTATATACGAAATACCTTTTATGTGAGAATTTAGCAAAAGGTCAAAGTAAGTAGGCAAAGTGATAATTACGATAATTGTTAATGATTATGACTACTTGGTCAAGAAATTTATTCATACCTAATGAGACTAGACTAATTAGTCATAATCAAGTTTTTGACTAAGCAAGACACAGAGCTGTCCACGAAAATGTAGAAAATGTTCGAATTGTTCGTACGAACACGTTAAAAAAGTACTTTTTTCCCGATGGAAAATTGTGAAATATAAGCAAAATGTTAACTCCCGTAGGTAATTACAAATTAAAATTACACAAAGAATGAATTTGTTATGGAATCTCATTATGGAAGTTCTGGAATCGAACCATCGCTTGGGTTGGATATTTTTCACGATTTTCCGCGAGTACATTCGAAGTTTTGACACGTATATTGAAATTCTTTTAATGTAAGCCTGCCAAATTTTTTTTATGTCGATCAATTCCGGATAATCATCCGCGCGAGTTTTCTCTAAGTCCGGGATAAATCCGGGCGATGCAACTCAAAGTTTGTAACTGAAAATCCGAGCCAATCCCAGCAAAATTAATTTTTTTAACCAAAACAAAAATATTGACCTCTGAAAATCTTCGAAATATATTTCGGTTTCCACAAAAATGACTTGATTTTCAATGTAAGTTCAATAAATCTTGTTTCCCTTGTTTTTGATAAGCTGGATTTGTCAATATCAAAAATACAAAAAATTCAACACATTTGAAGAGACAAAAATCCAAAAAAATTTGTTAAGAAATCGTCGAAAATTGTAAAAAATCCGGGCGAAATCCGGGGGTTTTCCGCCATATCCAGGCAGGCTTATCTTAATTGATAGTTAAATTTCATGTTCCTTTTTTTATAAGACATACATACCCACGTGCGGCCCTATGACAAGATTTACTTCAATGTTCCATCCTGAACCAAGAGTTATAATAAATTTTTCCTCGTCAAAAGTGTACTGTGTACGCAGCAAATTGAAAAATCTGTATATGTATTTTGGTATTATAAATCTATTTTAGAATCTGATCAGAGGGAATTTATATTTTTATTTTAACCCTCCTGCAGACAGTATCATAATAAGAACCGATCGATACAGTATGGGCCTCCACCATACAAAATGTATGAAAATACTTTCAAAAGCAACATTAATTTAGATTTTTTTTGTTATTATTCGATGAAAATGAAAAGCGAGTTGAATAAATGTAAACATAAATAAAAAGTATTGAAAAAACTGCACAAAAATGTATTCGAATCTGAAGAATCAGTTTAGAGTGCGTTTTTTACATTGCATACACAAAACAGTCAAGTTTGAATGTTCACCGCAAAAGTTTTTGTTACATTTACTACAACGAGTTTTTGTCTTTTGACCAAGTGAAGCTTGACATAAAGTACATCAACGTCTTGCGAAGATGAATTCGACGGTGTATCTTCAGAGACTTCTGGATCATTCAAATGTTAACAAGCCTGATTCAAAACTGACATGAAAATTCCTCTGATTCAAAAATTTCAATTTCATTATTATCTGCATCATCCGATTCAATTTCATATGGACAAGTAAATCGTTTTCAGTTTCAAACGATGTAATTTCATTTTCTTTCAATGAACCTTCGATGGAGACGAACTGAAGCTTGCATTGTAATTGTTTCCTACAGAGTTAAAAATAAGTGCCTTACTTATATGTGTGTGCTCTAAAAATGCTAGGTCAATAATGCACAATGAGTAGGCACACTAACTCAGCTCAATAAATTATTTTACTTTCGTAATTTATATTACGAACTCATAAAAAATCCTTCCACTAACAGAGCCAAATGAAATAATTGTCCGAGAATGAATGTGAGACTTCTCCTGAGAGTTTATTGAAATGTAACAGCGGTGTTCCATTTCAATAAACTCTCAGGAGAAGTCTCACATTCATTCTCGGACATTCGAATATGTATTCATCAATGAAAATGAAATGACTGAATGGGTGTTCCATTTCATATGTATAATACACGAGTCCGTTAGCTTGGTGGTCTCAACCGCATTAGCACGCGCAGTCATGACACATTGATGCATTTCGGAGATACGCATCAAGGGGCTGCGTTACTATGTCCGATCTTCACATACTTTCAACTTTTGAATTCATATAATACCATTGGAGACGGCAAATAGAAAAAAAATAAAAAAAATCGGAAAATATTCTCTAGATATATGGATTTCCCTACATTTTTTTGAAGTGAGATTTTGATTTTGGTCCAATAACGGTATTTGATGATTTGCATATTCTAGCGGTTTATATATATATATTTTTATTTATGTTCCGATATCATTAAATTAACGCGGAAGTTTGAAGTAAATTGCAAGTTTGAAGTTTGGATTTTATTCATTTTTTTCTGAGTTGCTGAGCCATATAGACCCATTCTGTCTGCAGGAGGGTCAACTTAACTAAGTTTCGTTAGTTTCAAAAGGTAAAAATTGTGTATGACCTAGGTAAGACGAACATACCTGAGTATATAGTCAATTTCTGATAGAGAACAGACTTTCTTGTAACCCGTTTGAATCAGTTTTTTCAAATTTTTTTGTTTAATTGTATCTATCACAGATTTTGGTATAAAGTTACTGAAACCAATCTCCTTTTCTATATAATCAATATGATGTTTTTTATCAGATGATTGATTTGTATCTTTGTAGTAATGGCGAATACCCAAACAACACAATTGAATTGCTATATCTTGATCGATATTTGTTATGTTTGAATGAATGTAGTCTGCAATAGCCTAATAAAACGGAAAAACGATGTTAAAACAAATTTGTAAAGAAATAATCAATTAAATTTTTTTTTTTGGTCTTCAAATGATATTATTACTATCCCTCCAACCGAAATGCCCGAAGGCGAAAAAAATTGGACCCTCCATAAAATGTCTTACACTGACAATGGCAATAAAAAATATAAAGTTTAAAACATGCGTCATTTGGTCACATTTTTTGGAAGGCTGCCTGTAGGCCGCCTTACCGGTTAGAGGGTTATATTATGAAGGTTTTAAGTATAAATTTAACAGGGCTTTCAAAAGTGGATTTTAAATCAAAATCAAAAATAAAATAAATTGATTTGAAAGGCAAAATTCAAATCAATTAAATCATTTGATAAGATTTGGATGATCGAGTACAGTTGGGACTAATAACATCAGACTAGTAAGATAGTTATTACTTATTACTAATAATTTCTAATAACTGGTAATAAGACGTCATCTTATTAGTGTAATAAGTATAGTAATAAGTATAGTTATTAGAATGTTACTAGTCAGAAGACTAATAAGATGCATGTATCTTATTAGTATAGTTATTAGTATAGTTTCTCATCAGTATATTTCGATTGGTGTTACTAGAAGCAAATAGTACTGAAACACGAAAAACAGCAGAAAGGCAGTCAAAATCACAAAAAAACTCCCGATCGATTTTTCTCGCATTTCCGATGGGAAATCGGCAAAAATAAGCAAATTTGTGTTCACAAGGTGAACACCATACAGCCAACTACTTTTTGGCCTAAAATCAAAATCCGGTGGAATTTGGCTGATTGGTGGACTTTCAGGATTTGGCCTGGTTTCCAGAACTTCCAAATGTAATTCCTGTATAAAATTACTCGAATAATATATATATATATGGAATTACATTTTGGAAGTTCTAGAAACCAGGCCAAGTGAACACAAATTTGCTTATTTTTGCCGATTTCCCATCGGAAATGCTAGAAAAATCGACCGGGAGTTTTTTTGTGATTTTGACTGCCTTTCTGCTGTTTTTCGTGTTTCAATAGTATTTGCTTCAAGTAACACCAATTGAAATATACTGATGAGATACTATACTAATAACTATACTAATAAGATACATGCATCTTATTAGTCTTCTGACTAGTAACATTCTAATAACTATACTTATTACTATACTTATTAGTGCAAAAAAATAATAAGTAATAATATAGTTTGATCTTATTAGAATGATAAGATAATAAGATGAATAATAAGATACCGAAAATGCCCAACTGTATGATCGAGTATATTTTAAATCAAATCAAATGATTTAATTGATTTGAATAGTGTACATCAAATCAAATGATTTCAATTTTTATATTTATTTGAATAATCAAATCAAATCAATCAGAATATATTTTAAAACATTTTTCATTGTACAATTCATTTTGATCACACTTTAAAGTCTCTTAAAATTAATAATTTTTCGAAAATATCGTCATTGAACAAATCAAATCAAGAAGAAAACATTTTATTAAAATTTGTTATGGATTTAGTAATAAGTAGTTTATCCGTCATTTGTTCATAAAATACAGCTCGATACTTTCTTCGTCCGCCCCAGTCGAAAGACTTTTCTCGTTCGCAAGTAAGTAAAAAAAAATTCTACTTAATTTACTACATAACAAATTTTAATAAAAAAAATATTTTTTTAGAGATGATTTTACGGCCTCAGCGGCAATCCATGAATGACGATATTTTCGAAAAATTATTAATTTTAAAAGTCTGTAAAGTGTGACCAAAATGAATTGTACATTGAAAAAATGTTTTAAAATATATTCTGATTGATTTGATTTGTTTATTCAAATAAATATAAAAATTGAAATCATTTGATTTGATGTACACTATTCAAATCAATTAAATCATTTGATTTGATTTAAAATATTCTCGACCATTCAAATAAAATCAAATGATTTATTTGATTTGAATTGTGTATTTCAAATCATGATTTTTTCCATGATTTGTAGATTTTACAAATCATTTGATTTCAAATCTAAAAGCTTTTACCTATATAACTATAAATTACCTGATCAAAAAAGAAGTGACAAGTTGTTCGGTCTCTTTCATATAATTCTTCCAAGTTTTTTGGTATGTAGCGTATTCGAATTTCGGCTTTCCACACACTATTTAAATGAATAACATTTGTCTTGTGGTTATGTGTTTTTGATGTCCTTTCAATAATATTCGGACATTGAGTATTGGAGCAAGAAGTATTTAAAATATGTGCTATAACTTCATTCATTGGCGTTTCAGTAGGTATCCATAAAATCTGATGATTTAGTTAAAAACAACACTTTTTAATTGAATTTGAATCTTTCAAATACATTGGTTACTAATGGTTACTTCAAATACATTGGTTACTAAAATATACAGCAACCTATCGAATTATTAACCAAAACGTGTGCAACTTATCTTACTAATCGGAATGTGCCGAAGAAAAACAATAAATGGCAATTAGTGAAAAGACAATGGATAACATATATGTATACCTCCTGTGTAAGGATGTGACGCAATCGTAGTGCATAATATTGGGGATTAATCTTTTGATTTGTTGACATAGAGTTCACAATCAAAATAATAATTTGCCGAACATCAGAAGCCTCATCAAATCGAATCGTTCGAAAGCCATGATTTGGTAGATATACGTGCAGTGTCTGTGTATCAGATTGATCTTAAAAGATGAAAACATTTTATTTTTTTATACTGAAGAAAAATCTGATTGTCGATTGCATTAAAAGAAGAGAGGGATGATAAAACGAAAAAAGTTCGAGAGCATAAATGTACGATTTTATTAAGAAAATTGTCATATTATACTACAAACATTTTTTTCGTATTTCATTCATAATCTTTTCTTCTTATCATACATTGAGGAAAGAACACGAAAAAATAAGTTAATTAAATCAAGTTCTAACTTTCAACCGCCTGTGAATAGATTATATATTTAAAAAAAAAACTATACTTACTATTTGAACGAGATGGACTAAAGTGAGGTGAATGACCACGCATAATATTTAAATCCGTCATACTCTAAACCGAATCAAACAAATATTTACAATGAAAAATTTAAATGTTTACTGTGGATTATTTATTTATGTTATCAATAAACCACACTTGGCAAAAGAACGCGAAAAAATAAATAAAATTAAAATGAATTCATTGAATAAATAAAATAAGTTAGAATTGGGTTTTAAAGGGTTTTAATAGCTTTTTATGAAGAACTATTTCGGAATATGGCCTCAAGTTACATCCTTTTTAATTAAAATTTGTTCATTCCGATCAAACGTGTGTAAAACTTGTCGAATGAAAATGTTGACTTGCGTCCTCAACAGTCAATACCGAATATGTGTAATTATTGAGCATGAAATTTGCTATTTTTCCGGGTCTTTAGATACCAAGTCGTTATAATATTGTATACTTTTTTTTAAAAGGAATATCGAGAGTATTGTTTCTTCAATATAGATTCACAAAGAGTAATGATTTTTATTAAATGATGGAATTGTATATAGGCTATATAATATAGCTTGCTTTTGAAAAAAGGACATGTTTTTCTCTCATTGGATTCTGAAAAGATCACAAAAACATCTTATCCTTTTTTATAAAGAAACAAGCAACTCATAAATAAATTGACAAGACCTTCAATTTTTTTTTTCGAAACGATTGCAAGTGCAAAAGTAGTTCAATCTTTATTTGTATATCAGAAATTCAAAAATAATAATTTCGCAATCGATTATAACGTTTAAAATGAAATTATTTATAAGCGTCTTTCGTTTATATCTGAACTTAGAAAAAGATGGGTGTAAACATTTTATATATGTGCGCACTAGAAGTGCGCACACTCTCACGTAGTACTCACCAACTCTTGAATTTAGAAATGAATATAAAAGTTTTTGTTAAATGTAAAATTTGTGGTTTTTCTATGCAACTATTTTTACAGCAATACGAAGCGATTAGAGGTTAGGGATTCAATTTCTTTGTAAAAAATATTAAAATATTAAATGCTTTTCCTTTATTCAATATTTAAAAAAAAGTCCATAATGTTTTATATATATTATACTGGTGTTCAAAGCGGAAATGCTCTTTACACATAAATACATCAAGAAATTGCATTTTTTTACTTACTTATTCAAAATTCACGTTTTGAGAAGGTGAAATTGTACATAAACAACTTTTTATTACTTTTGCATATGATTAAACACAATAACATTATAATATGGCATGAAAACAATGATGGAATATCGTCGACCAAATCATTTAAAGGAAGCTTTATCAGGCTATGAATGAGATGTTATTGAAAAAAGACTTAAGTTTTTAATTTAAATTTGAACGATTTTTTGATTTTTCCCAAAATGAGACGAATGAACTAACGATAATTTAATTTGAGTGAGGATCCAAAATTTGGTCAGCCATTTATTTTTTAATGTCGAATTGTTTTGTTAAAGAATTGGTGATATTTGACAGAAGTGAAATACCCAAATGTTATCTTACGCCATCTATTAGCAAAATAATTGTGAACGCAAATACATCCATTACCGGCACGTTAGAATTTGGTCCCATATTTCATTGCCGGTAGAAAAAGATAAAGACAGCTTCTCTGGTTGTCTTCGGCATACGATGCACCATTGTTGTTTTTGAGCTGCTCGCAATTTTTGCGCCCAATTTATGTTCGTCTGTTCGATTTGCTTTCGAACACATTTACAGTACAATGAACGGACCATTGTCTTCGATTTTTCGCAGCATGTATCAAACCTTCAAAATCATGTTTTGGCAGACCGATTTGTCAATTTCGATCAACTTTCTCTCAACCCATCCAACCAATTGTTGCACGTTTCAAGTATTTTGGACCTTCGCCTATAACAAACATCCAAAAACAGACGAGAAATATCTAATTTGGCGTCTTTTTGTGAAGTTAAAAAGATGGTCCTTTTTTCATGGAAATGCTATTTTTTAATTAGCGAGCCATTATTGTGGTTTTTTCTGCTTGCAAAGCAAAATTTTGTCTTAAATCAGATATTTCTCAATGAATTCTATCGATTTCAACAATAATTGGTTGATAATGGAGCAAGTAATGAAGGTTTAACCTTATGTTTCAGCACTAAATTTTCGAATAATGGCTCTAAAACACCTTCCAAAGAAGATCCTACCGTACAAACACCCCTTTATCAAAGTTCGGTTTGTCGGCGTCTCTAGCCCTACATAGTAGGGCTCTAACGTTATCAATCCAAAAGAAACCACATGCACTTGATTTATGGTTCGATATAGCGATGAATGTTTCACTGTCCAAAATGATGAATTTTTCAGTGCAACATGCTATGAGGTGAAGTAAACAGCCAATATTTGCCACTATTTGGAATATTTTCGTTACTTATTTTGATGATTATTATAGATCGTGTCTAAAACTATTGTTTTGATTCAAATTTGGATGTGCTGTAACCATAAGAATCACCAAAAATGAATTTTTGCTTGCCCAACCCGGTTTTCGGTACTTGATGACGATTTTGAAGGGTTTGAGCATTTGAATTGGGAATACGACCGTACTTTTTGCTTTCTCTAGAATCTTTGTTTTCATACTAAGTCCATGAAACACGATACATGGTTCGAAGAGAGATTGGTTCATCTTAAGAAACATGCAGAATTTGTTTTGAACTTAGCTTGCCAAAACCATTTGAGACACTTTTTTGTAAATCCAATTTGTACGTTATCGCGAATGGAAAATTTTGTGCAAATTGTGTTTGACAGTGATAGAGTAGGAGTCCCTGAGTTGACATTTTTGTTTTTGTTTATGTAGCGAAATAAACGCCTGAATTTAGTCTCAAAACTGTCTTTACATATCTTATAGTGACGTACACTCACTCACAATTTCTTGATGATCATTGAAGTTTCATAGCATGGAAAAATGGAAGCGAGCTCCTGGGTTAGAACGGACCGGGTGAAATTCAGTCCAAAAATGAATGGATGGAATTTCATCTGGACAACAGACTAGATCATCCGAGTATACACAGTAAGAAAATATCAGCCGACGCTATACGCAAAACCGACTGGTACGTGCGCTCATACGTTTTTAAATCTTTTACATCTAGTGACCATACGATTTTTCGACTGATTCGTTACTCTTTGTGAGTATCTTCTCACAGTCGAAAAATCGTATGGTAATAGATGTAAAAGATGTAAAAACGTATGAGCGCACGTACCAGTCGGTTTTGCGTATAGCGTCGGCTGATATTTTCTTTCTGTGTACGAGTGTACATTTAAATTAAAAAAGTTACGCCTAAAAAAGTCACAGGTCCCGTCTGAAAAACTCTGGCAAATCGGTACTTTCAGAAACGAGTTGCTTAATATTTTTGTTTCAATGAATTTCAGTTGATATTGTATTGTGATGCACAATGAAAGCTTTTTTAACAGTTCGGATATGCGCTGGAATAACTCATAGCTAATGTAATAAAGAAACAAAATATATAGTACTTTATTAATTTATTATTGTTCATTACACCAAATTGGAGTCGATTTTTTGACTCACTATCTAGTCATGTGGTTTTCAAAAGAATTTTCTAATACCATCAATGGAAGACATAATGGAAGACATTATTTATATTATTTTTTAATATAACCAAATAAATAAGCTTGACATTTACAGTTTTTTAAAGTGAAATAGTTCAGTTTTTGTGATAAATTTCATATCGAATCGAAAATTACATCATTAATTACTTAAAACATTCAATTTAATTATTATTTTTCTATTTTGGTTTCAATACTCCTCAGTTTTGAATTTTTTAATTGATTTTTGAGCATATCATTCAATACATCCAAGGAGAAAATGAAACTGAATTATTTTCTATCTTTTCAAATTGAACAAAGTTTTGCGTATTTAAAAGTATTATTTTGTTGGAAGTTTTCGATTACAATAGGTTAAATTTATATGTATAATAATTTTTTTCACAAATTTTTGTATATTAATAATTCCACTAATAGATATGATTTTAATTGAACTTTTTTGGAAGACTTCGTTATATTTATATATGGAGGACAATGCTGTTCAGTAATGTCTTTCCACAAATTGTAACTTTTAACATTTTAGCATTTGTTTAACTTTGTTGGATGTTATTACAATCTCAATATGACTGTAGTCATATTCAGACCTTTAGGTCCAAAAACATATTTCAGTATCAGTTCAGTTTTTTTGAAAACTATCAAATAGTTTCAAAAATACTCGTTTAAAAAATGAATTTTTATATAAAATGCATCAGATTTTATACATTCTTTCAAACAGATGTACAGATGTAGTTTTGAAATTAGAAGATATATTGAGGTGAAATTTTAGTAATTTTTTCCCCACTCTTATTTTGTAAATTTATGTGGTCTCAAACGGCAATGTATGTCCTCCATTTATAGTTTTATCTCTATATGCAGTTTTAAATTTTGATTATCTATTAAATTATAACTTTATATATTTTTATATTAACTTTAAATAACTATATATATTTTATCAATGGCATACATTTTTGTCTTATGTACCCCGGAAGATATTATTGTCAATTATTTTTGTTTTATTCTGGAAGACTTCGTTTGCCTCATAATTTTTAATAGCATTATTATTGTCATATAATTTATAAGTATTAGTCGAAATGAATTGCCACTCGATTTTAATACAACTTGTTCAACTTAAATATCATAACTTTCATTTGATAGCATTAGTATATTTTGTCAACAAGATATAAGGTGGCCAGATGTTCCGGATCAAAATCTATGATTTGGAATGAAAACGAGGAAAATCGTGAACAATTTTTAAATTCTAGTATTGAAACTTTAGGAAGATAAAAAACTGCATGAAACATTTATATTCTATAATATTTTGGTGTCTTAATCCTTCATAAAACCGAACTATATGATTATTGAATATAAAGATAGGAAGGTATGTTTTTATCCATCCATTTTTCAGCAACAAGTGCTTCAAGTCAGATTTGTGATCTGAAATAACTTGATACAAAAAATCCTGTTTTGACAAAAACTTCTGTGTTCAAAAAAAAAAAAAAAATTTAATGAGAGCAATGTTTGTTAGATTTGAATTTAAAAAAATACGTTGAGAGTTTCCGAATATCGAGGACATTCTTGTTATTTTCATGAGTTTGAGAAAACAAAGTCATCTGGCCACCAAAATGCAAACATATCAAATGGACGACTACAAAGTGAAGAAATTACATTATTACAATATTGAATAACAAATTTCTATCAATGTTATTCAATGTTTTGAAATGAACACATTGTTAATTTGGAATAAATAAATTTCATGCAAAGAAAGTGGAAAACAACAAAACCAAAAGGCTAATTTTGAATACTAACCAAACTAAATTATTGGATGGGTTTAAAGTTCACTTCAGTTGAGTCAATTAAATTTGTGTTTATTTTAGTTTTACTTTAAAAGTTTTAAAAAGGTAAACCGATTTCAAATGCTTCAATTAAAGCATTTCCTGAGTCATAAATACCTATAACGCCAAATAATATGCCCAGTGATATAATAAAGTAATCCCAAGCACGTTGTTGTTGATCTAGCAAGTGACCTTTTATTTTCAAATGGAAGTAACATGGCCATATGAAACTCAGCATTGTGCCAGTAAAGCTTCCAATAAAACCCATTAAGATTGAAAAATGTGGAATAAATATTGCCATTAATATCGTGCCAACAATAACACCAACACGAAATGCAAAACCCCAGACTTTCAATTCACCGTCGAGCGCCCAAATAGTTGGAAATGACGTTTTTGGTTTACCTCGGAAAAATGCACGTTCAAGTAATTCGCAAGCAGCATAATATGGCAATGGATAACTGAGTATTGCTTTAATAACTAAAAACATATTAACCAACCCCTTAAAACCACTCGAATGAAGATTGTTCGTGATTACTTGTTGTGTATCATTTTGAAATGTTAAAAAGCATAAATATCCAAACAATGCTTTGAATACGGCTGCTGCAATGTGTGACCAGTCCAACATCCATTCAAATTTTGATCGATCAATCATGTTACCTAAATTTGAAAAAAATAACACAACAATTATAGTATTACACGACGGTCAGATTTCTAATGTAGACTCATTTCCAAAACAACCCAGCAAATCGAAGAAATTTTTCGGAAGCCGGTGGCACCCCTCTTTAATTTATATACTATTCAGGAATGAACACAAATGAATTTTAAATTGTTGCAGCAAACATTATTATTTAAATTTGAGACAAACTCGCATTTTATAGGAGATTTTGTATGAAATATCCCGAGAAATTCGGGGTTTATTTGAGATTTGGTTGTTTTGAATCATGTGAAAGAAAAAATGCTTTATGTTGTTGTATTTCTGCCATTTTTGATGTCACGTTGTTTCTCTACTATCTAAATTGTTGACGCTAATATTTTTACCAACTAAGACTTACTTTATCAAAATTTATAAGGATATTTGAATACTGAATGCAGAAGACAAAATGCAGAAAAAATAATACTCGAAATCAGAAAATATTATCAAAAACATTACAATTTTTTCCGAACTATGTATGTGTACATTTTTTACTTTTTGCACTCAGGTAAATGTCCTAGAATAGTTATCGACTCCCGAAATATGAACATAGACTGCTGTTTTTACATTATGTTATATGAACATAGACTTACATCACCTACTTCACTATGTCTGACCCGGTATTCATTTGCTTCTTTCTTCGCATTTTCTTGATGCATACGAGAACCAAACAAGCTTAATACCAAAAATATGTAAGGTCGCCAACATAATGTTGGCAACATTGTACATTGCATCCCATTTCCTTTGTTGATATGCTCTCTACCTAGATCCAAACATACATTTGAAAAGCACTAGCTCAAAACTTTTGAGATAGAATGTTCAGAAAAACCTTCGATTTATATGGAAAAGAAGGTACAAAATGGAACACAAGATCGAACGAGTTCACACGAGTGATGATTCTGTAAGCAGTAGGTACGTATACAAGTGCATAAATATCTTTCGAATAGGAGAAAAAATTGCAATGTTTTTGGTAACATTCTCTGATTTCGAGTTTTCTACATTTTGCCTTTCTGCATTTTGCCCTGTCACCATTTCAATGAATATGAACGAATAAGATTAATTATGATCCACAATCACCCTTTAAAAAAAATGCTGATACAAGACATTAAGTTAAAATAAATGAGATATCTATATACTGACTCGTATTCAAGTACATATGAAGAAAAATGGATTCTTTTCTCATAGACATCACTTCAGGCATTTAACCTTTGTACATCGACCAAATTCGCTCAAAATATAATAATTTCTATTCGTCGCAGCCCCCAATCATCCTGTAAATTCAGATTTTAAATAACATTTCTCGGGGGAACAAATTTTACGTCCGGTAAACAAGTTTTTAAGGTGTCATAAATTTTAACCCATTGCAATATTTTTCCCTTACACTAAGTGTGTGGGGAAAAGTAATAAAAAAATACATTTTGAATTAATGTGCACATCGAGTTGTTGGAGTTGCTAACATAAGGACAAGAATGGAAAATTTGCACCGAATGGAAAACTGTTATTTTTTTTTTAACTATGTAACATAAACAATATTATATCAATGAATTAGTTAATTTTGAAATTATTCTATAGGTATACTTTATAATTATAAAATTGTCATTTGTGATATTAATGAGTGAAGTATCAGATTTATCATCAAAGCGAGTCAGTATACCATTTATTTCAACTCAATGTCTTGCATTAATATTTTTTTAAAGCATGATTTGAGATCATAATTATTCTTGCCCGTTCAAATTTACAAATACCCTTTCATATAGGAGGTTATCATAAATATATAGGATATAGAAGACTTCTACTAAGTAATGTGATTACCTTCGAGTGTTGGTAAGAATATTTGTGATGTATATGAAAACACTATAACACCAAGGGAAATCGGGAAATTCCCCATGTCAATACTCCATTTGACTTTGGACCAGCCCCAATCTCCAATTTCCAATAAACAGTATCCCAGAATAACTGCATTAATTACCAAATGTGACATCGTACACCAAAAGGACAAAACAGATACCATGTGCAATGATTTTAGTAATCCAAGTGGTAACAAAAAGATTCCACATAACATCATCCACGATCTGAAAAATTGACATGCAATTGGAAATCAAAATTAGTTAAGTTTGAATTTATTTCCAAAATTCGACTGTTATTTGAAGATTCGAAATAAAAGCAAATGTATACTTATTTTGCGAACACAACTTTTATGGTGAGAAAATTCCCCATATTGAAGGAAAAAAGAGTTTATACTTTCATCTGGTGGAACGTTTCTCTATTTTCGAAAATTCGTAGCTGAAAGACAATGACATTACAGCGCGATATTCTCTGATTGGCTCGTAGTTATATGACCAAATGAAGAGAAATTCATCCTTAGAACAGTCTTTGAGGCATTCAGTGCATGAGACAAATTTCAAACATAAAACTCCATTTTTTATGTTTATGGCTTACGTCACAACTCAAAAATATAATATTTCATGCCATGGTTTTCGGGGAAAAAGGCACAGAAAAACATGTCGATGTCGTCTTTGGGGCACTTAATGTGTATGCATTTTGTATGAAAAATGTATGTGTACCTAACTGTGCTTTATCAGTGGTAAAATTCCATAAAAAATACACAAAATGATGCAGTTAAAAAATTGTGAAACGAATATTTTTATATTTTGTCAGGAACGTATTCAAAATGTAGGTAGCGATCTGCTGCACATGTCATACATGTCTTTGGTTTGTAAATACAAAATACACTATGGGCACTGAGTGCCCGCCCCCAAACACTATGGTGCATCGACCAAAGACGGTTCTAAGGTTAAAATGTTTATTAGGACAGACAGAACAGAATCGAAAACACACATACACTGAGTCTAATATTTTTGGTAGACAAAATTTAGCATGGCACACTCCACTCACACGCCATTCGTATATAAATCCTATGTCAATGGAGAGTTTCTCTGCTTACTTTGATTGTTATTTTGTCTATCAAAAAAATTAGATTCACTGTATATTTTAAACATTATAAATAACAAATTGTTTATGTTTGTACTCTTTGTGTGTTCGTTCATCCTCATCATACATGTTTAAGCACGATTTGAAAAACGAAGAAGTAAGAATCACACATTTTTCAAAAAAATATCTCACTATGGTGAAAATTGTGAAATATGTTCACATATATTAAACACATATTAAAAATCGATGTATATATCAGAGACTATTTTAAGCTGAGTTAGTATCTCTTACTGCAGTTCTAAATTGAAAAATGCTGTTGAAAATTTCAAAAACCAAAATTTCTCTAGCAAATCAAACAAATTTTCGTTTTTTTTTTTTTTTTGGAAGTCACTTTTTGAGGCGAAAATCCCTAGCAAATCGAAAGAATTTTCTCCGCGAAAAACCTTAGCAAATCGGAAAAAAATCTCTCGGAACCAAAAACCCTAGCAAATTTAAAGAATTCTCCTCAATTTTCTACATTGATGAGCTAACCGAGTAATGCGCTATATGTTTTTTATGAAAACGTCACACGAATCTCCCCCGAAAACGACATCTTTGGTCTTGCAGCAGAAGCTGTTTCTATGCTGAAAATTTCATTTCAGTTTAAAAAAATTAGAATATTATTCATGTAGAATTGTACAAATATTTCAAAACGTTGAAATGAGATTTACAGAAATATGGATTTGAAAATTGTTTTAAAAAATAAACACGGCACAGTCAATTTCAAAAAGAATGACTATGAAATTATAACAGTTTTTGTACCATTTTTATATGACCTGATCCACTCGCATTTATTCTACATTTGTGAACAGCTTTCATTGGGCTGAAGCTTTGAATGTTAATTAGATACGAGTGGAGAAATGGTATAAAGCGTTGAGTTATTCTTTCAATGAATAATATTGTTGACATATTTTCACGATGACAGCTATTTCTGCGGTACAAAATTGACCCGTTTGAATGATTTGTCAATATTGAACATACTCTACACACATGGGGAAACAGAGATGGCGTTGTCGTAGCATGAGCAAAATATATGTTTAACGCAATATTCGGCTTTGATGAGCTAAAAAAAAAAAAAAAGGTCTTCACTTTTTTCATGAAAAACCCTAGCAAATTCGAATAATTTTCGCGAAAAAAATTTTCTCATCCAAATCACAGGGGGGGTGGTAAACCGCCCCCTACCCCCCCCCCTTCGCACATTACTGCAATAGATATAAGCTTGCCATGTAGCACCAGAAATATTGAAAATGTACTGTTCAAAATTTGACATATTTCAAACATCGCAAAAAAAAAGATAGGGGACTCTGGTCGGGATGGGCTTGATCACCCCCCATACTCTCCAGACCTTTCTCCTTCTGATTATCACTTGTTCCGATCGATGCAAATGGGCTTGTCTGAGATATCGTTTCGAAATCCTGAAGGAGTGCGAAAATGGGTCGATCAATGGATAGCTGGAAAAGATGAGGAATTCTTTCGACGCGGAATCGACAAGCTACCAAGAAGATGGGCCGAAGTCATAGCTAACGATGGGCAGTACATTGGTTAATGTACTCATTCTTATTATTTTTAAATAAATGTGACCTTTCACCAAAAAAACGATCAAAATTAATTTATACACCCAATATAATGTTTTTTATGTTTATTTTTAAGTAAATGTATGAGTGGTGTGAGCGAGATTTAGCTCACTCATAATGTGACTTGAGCGAATAGTGAGTTGCTCTCGCATTTGTTCGGTGAGTCGACAAGGGCACTGTGCATTCCAAAACTCAGCACATTGAGTTACTTATCGCGTTGAGCGTGCGTTTTATAAGCACTGCTTATTAACCTTTTTTTGAATTTGACAGACAAGCAGATATTTCTAAAGTTCACGATTCAATTGGGAAAGATCTTGATTTATCAGCATTACATTTACAATACATCGATCTATCGAATTCCTCAGACGAAATTAAAAAAAACAAATGACGCCAAACGTTTTGAGCATTTTGTTGAAATTCCTACAGTTATTGTTAGAATTTTAGCTTGCACACCACATTTGACTGACTGTGAACGCTTTATTAGCGCAAACAATATTTTGAAGACTCACAAAAGAATGAATATGGTATTATCTACAGAAAACAGCTATTTATACATTCATTTTAATGCACCGTCGCTTGAGATGTGCGTCCAGCTGTAGTAAAATGGATTGCTGATGTAAATTGACGTCATTCAAATGTTTCAGCAGCATCGAAAACAAACGCCAAAAACCTTACTTCAAGCATATTTATGAATGAATTGAAGCTGAAGAAGACGAAGATAATAAAACAAGAGAAGAAAAGCAAAAGAAAAAGCAAAATGTTCATTCAAATTTAAGTTAAATCTAATATTCAAAAAATTACACATCAAATGTTCAAAAAACATATTAAAAAATTTCCTCGAAAAAAATTAAATATGTCCTCGAAAAAATTGAATATATCCTCGATTTTCAGTTCTCAAATTAGTCCCTGGTATATATTATAACTCACCAGCGAGTTATTATGTGTTATTAAAATATTTATTTCTTGTTTTTGCTTGGCAATTGGCGATTTCTCTACATCAAACAATAAAAGCGATGATAGTATCGACAACGAAAGTGTCTGTATAATCATCATCAATGATTCAACGAATCAATAAATTTTTAAAAGCAATAAATTTACAAAAAAATGTACGCACATGTCCATCTATTTAAAATACAAACACTTTTCATTATCTGATAATTTAATATTGGAAATTCTATTGTTCAATGACTTTGTTCAATATTGTTCTATAATAACACTGTGGGTCAAAATTTCAAAAACTCTCGGTGCGGGCCAAATGACCTGCCAGGTATGATCGGGCTCGGTCCCCAGATCACGGAGGTAGGTTTGGTTTCTCTGGTCCAGAACCGTTTTTCACCAAAAACCGAAATTGAGTGTTTTGTTTAATAACTTATTTTTTATTTATCACTGAAAATGTCTGCCCTCCAACTCCCCCCACCTCTTGGGGGGATCAGGGGTCATAACCCCTTAACCCCTGATTTCTTGACCGGAAACCCAAAAATTCGGCTTCAGCATGCCAAAAAACCTTTAGAAAATGTTTTTTCCAGATGCCCTCCGAGCCAATATTCAAAACACTAAATTTCGGTTTTAGGTGAAAAACGATTTTTCGAAGATAATGTATGGGGACTGTTTCCTGACCAGAGAAACCGAACCTACCTCCGTGATCTGGGGACCGAGCCCGATCTCACAGTGTAACAATTTGTTGAATAATAATAAGAACAAGGCATTTAAAAGTCATCGAATATCTATGTTTATGTATAAAAATAATGCTAGATTGTAACAAGCAATATATTTGAATGTAAATAATTTTTTTCAAATACCTAGAATCAAGAGCGCCTTCTGGAAATGTTCCACTCATTAAATCACCACATACGACCACATATAAGATACAAGTCATTAATAATTCAATAATCTGAGCAATGCTAACAAGACGGGCCCCGATTTTTGGACCAAAACACACTTTTGCTATTGATACATAGCTATCCCGAACGCGAACCATTTCACCTGTGTTTGGATCTGGTTCATACAAACACTGAACTAAAATCTGAAAATAGTTGCCTTATATTATTCTACTGTCTTACATTTGAGAGTTCTTGAATTACCTTTCCTGTATAGCAACAAATATGTGCAATTCCAACCATAGCTATAATGGCCCAATACCCACCACGAAGAACAGCGAATGGCAAGGAAACTATGAACATGCCTTGAATAGCATTTGTGACATTCCAAGCGGCTTGAAATTCGTTAATTTTTTCATTTGAAGCTCCCTCACCACCGACAAATGAACTTTCAGTTGATGCAACACTTGGCTGACTACATAAGTTGTAAGAAGGGTAAAGCATATCGGTTCTATTAATAAACTATGTGTTGTGACTTGTTGTGTGTATGCTATGAGTTCTTCTTGAATCAGAATTATTAACCAATTTGTAATAATTCATTTGGCGATGACAAACATTGAGAATTTTTTCATATTGAATGGAGTGAACCACGAACATAGCACACAAGTGTATTATGAAAATAACATATTATGAAGAATTGTTTTTATAAACCGTTTTTTTTTAACTTTTTACTTACCGATTCAAGTAATTCTCTGAGCGTTGATAACCTTGTTCATAACTAAATGATGTACATTCTTGAGTCCCATTAGTTTCTTGTCCGAACGGGTTTGTAGTGTTAAAGGGATTGAGTTCATGATGTTCAATGTGCTGGCTTCGTTGGATATCATCTGAAAAATGAACACTTTGGGGTCTTGGAGGAACAGGGGGTGGGCCATTCGGTTCGACATATTCTCCTTTATTCGGCTTATCAGGCATAGTTTGTCGAGCTGTCTGTACAGCTACATTTAAAAAATTCTTCACTGGTGGAATTGGTAATGATCGGAACTTGTTCAAGAAAGTTAACTTATCCATCTTTCAGATTATCAGTCGATGAATGGATTTATTTTTTATTTATTCAAGTGAGGTGATTTGATTTTCGTAAATTATGCTTATTTTAAGGAAGACCTGATTTAAAAACACTAGGACTTTACATATACATCTATTGAAATTTCATTTTATAGCTCCATTTCCTAGTTTCACAATTATTAATCGACAGAATTGGTTCACAATTAGAAATTCAAAAAACTCGTTCTGTTTTGTGTATAATTAATGAAGTAAGCAGACACACAGAATCAAAACACAACAAAACCACGTAAAATGAGTTAATTTTTTTTAAAAAAGCACTTTGAATAATTGGTAAAATTTGCAAAAGCATACACCACTAGTTGGAAACAACTAGAGACAGCATATCGATTTTGTCCCACAGTATTGGATTCTGTATGTCAATGAAATAAAAGGAGATTTTTTGGAGAAAAAATTAAAACCAATATATGTTAATCAGTACAAAGATAATTTTAAAAATATTTCCTTAGAAACAACCAATTTTCTTTGAAAAATATTAATTAAATTTACCGTTTTCTTTTTGGCTGAGCTAAAAACGTCTTTGCCAGTCCTTTTACTGATAGGTAAAACATTGGCAAAACATAGGCATACAGCATCTTTCACTCATACATTCACACATTCATATCTTACGCATACAGTTTCATACAGTCCTTTCAATTTAATCTTCAGAAAATTGTTGAATACAGTAATTGATAAAGTTATTTCTATAAAAACATATAATTGAATATATATATTTAATATTAACAACGCATTATTGATTTAAGTATTGATGCAAATTATAGATAATATTTTATTTTTTAATAGAAATTTGGTAATTTGAAAAAAAATCTGTTAAACCTTTCAAATGTTTTTCCTTATGATCATGCGCGTTCACGAAAAACGTACTCATTTCCAAGTTAAACAGCAAGAAATTGTGTGCTAATGTCAATTGATGTCAAGAATTATTCTATTTAATGGAATACAATAATATATTTCGATAATTTATCGAAAGAAAAGATAGCAATTCTTAAGTAATGAAAGAGATTATACCTTTAAGTTCACACCTTTTCATGTTGATCTAACGTAATATTTCCTTGGATTTTCTATATAGTAAAATAGAAAATATTTTTCTGAAAATATTCTGGTAAAGAAATTAAAACTGAGTATACAAAAATGCTCTTTGAAATTTGGAGACAGACAATCATTGAACGGAAAGACGTTTGCAATAATTGTCTATCATTTGGTCACTCATTGTTGTTTTAGATATGATTCTGGAAAAAAAAATTGGTGGTGATCAAATAACAATAAAATTATTCTACTTGTAAAATTTTTACATTTTTCTCGACCTTAAGAGATAAATTCACGTTTGTTTATAATTTTCTGCCAAATTTGGCGCCAACTTCGTTTTTAATACGGATAAAAACAGCATAACACCGACATCTATAAATTCAATCTCGAAATATGTTTTCATTAATTGATACGGGAAAATTTGATTGAATTCATACAGTGATCAATTAAAATCACACACAATTAATTTACTCGCCACCAATTTTATTTCAATGATTTTCATATTTCATGATTTTATCGTTTTTTATTTGCTGACATTCAATTTTTGCAAGTTTTGCAACTCATAGTATTTTGCTACATGGCGTCAAAAGCAGTTAATTATAGTACAGTACAATATTTTGAAGGAAATAATGTTACCAAAGAAGGAAAACATTTGCCAAAAGCAATTTCTATCACTTGCTTACTTTTACTGTTCATATACACAAATATAAGTTTGGATGCTGCCATCAAAAATTCCTTAGATTCCTTTCAAGTTAGAAGGAGTTATAGGAGAATTGACAATGTATGGAGCCTATAGGTAATTTTTCACGAGGAATCCGAATATGTAATTAGTTTTGGGGTTAGATGGGATATGGACCCAATATCGGGGTATTTTTCGATGTTTTCGTGAATTTTGTTGGGGATATGGAGAACATCGTATATAAAACCAGTTTATAAGAACGGTAATAGAAACAAGATAGAAAATTACCGTGGTGTAGCTCTGCAGTGTATAATCTCAAAGCTACTTGATTCAATCGTCACAAACCATCTCAATAGTCATCTGGTGGACATCGTACACAAAAGTCAACATAGATTCATCAAAAATAGGTCAACGATAACGAATTTGGAAGAATTTAGATCGAATGTTTGATAATTATCAACATGGGAAAGGGACATCAAACAGACACCACTTATTTGGACATCACGAAGGCTTTTAATTCTGTGAATTTAAAATTACTAATTCAATGAGAGGAGCAATAATTTTACATTTTCTCTCTCAAAAATGCTTGATAAAAATCAAATTGTATTATATTATATATATTTAATTAAATTATTTTCAATAAACCACCAAGGCGAAGGAACGCTGTTCGGTGCAGTTATTATTATTATTATTAAAAGCTAGACATCATGGGATTGAATAAACAGCTAATAAAATGGATCGAATCGTATTTGTCTGGACGCAGACAAATAGTCTAGATTGCGGAAGCCAAATCAGAACCAATCAAAGTCACATCAGGTACGGGTCAGGGATATCTCATTGACGCAACTTTGTTTATCATGTTTGTAATCGATCCACCTTTCGTCGTGGCCAACTCATCCATAATCTTTCACTGACGATACTAAATTATCAAAATGTATTACTGCCAGGAATGATTGATTAGTTTTACAAGACGATTTCAAAACGTTGCAGAAATTCTCTCCTTTTTACATTGAGTTCATACTGACGAAATGAAGCAACGTTCCGAGTATATTAAGTTTATATTCACAGTTCACAGAAAATATATCTATCAACTATTTTCGTCACAAAATTGATATCAGAAATTTTGTGTTTCAAATTTTGGTTTCGTCACTCGTTCTTCACCTCGATATAGGTTTTTTATATCAATAGTTTTGTAAGCGCTATTTTCAATTTTAAAGATTCAAGAAACATGAATTTGAATCTTTTTCAAATACAATGGAAATATAGATTTTCAGGTTATTTTTGGATCAAAATCATATAAATTGTGGTTCATAATGGGGAAAAGTAGTTTTTTCTGTGGTGTGTGGTATGCATATTTTTTTTATATCTACATAGTCATTGGAGTACATTTTGGTCCATAAAATATTTCAATTGTTAAAAGTAACATTTTTTGTCATTTTTGGCCATTTTTGGTCATATTCTTCACTATCAAAGGCCATATCTCGAAAACAAGAATTTTCTGAGATATGAGCTTTGCGGCATTTTATAGCTTAGACTTGGGCCTAATAATCGGTGAAATTTTAAAGTGACCAAGAAAGGCTAGTTTTCGAGCTAATGACCATTATGTGTCCGGCCAAACGGTAAATGTTTGGTTTTTGGCCAATTTGGCCACACCAAATTGAAATTTTTGGACCGCAAAGGGCTTCATTCGATAGCTCACTTCAAGACCTTTCCAATGATATGCATATGTCTGGGGCAGTAGTGTGCGAGGAAAATTTTTCAGGGGGGGGGGGTTTGATTTTCTAAAAACAAAAAATCCTCTAGCAAATCAGACAAATTTTCTTTTTCTTTTTTTGGAAGTCACTTTTTGAGGCGAAAATCCCTAGCAAATCGAAAGAATTTTCTCCACGAAAACCCCAGCAAATCGGAAAAAAATCTCTCGGGGCCAAAATCCCTAGCCTATTTTTCGCATTTGTATTACCAATAATTGAGTATGGAGCGCAAATTTGGAACCCACATTACAACGATATGTGCAAAAGAATTGAATCAGTACAAAAACAATGTCTTCTATTTGCACTGAGAAGGATGACTTGGAATAGTTACGGGCTACTTAAGTATGAGCATAGATTACTGTTATTACAAATGATGACATTTGAGGAGGGACGCAAAATAGCACAGATTTCCTTCATCTTTAAAATAATACGTGGTTCCATGAAATCAACATACATAGCGAACTGTCTAAACTATCATGTTCCAGTGTATAACACGTGATTGGTGCTACTTTTCGATTTACCAATTAGAAGGAGTGAATACACCAAATATGAACCAATAAATTACATGCTTATTACATGTTACATTCGAAACTTTTTGAGTGGTAAGGGATGATAACTGCATTCACCTTCAGAAGGGGAAGATTTTCACTTTCCGATCCGAATTTAAGGTACAAAGAAGCGTAAGATGACGTCGGTATGTATGAAGCCTATGGATTATTTTTTACGAGAATTCTGAATATGTACTGAGTTTTGGAGTAAGCGGGGTTAGACCCAGGGGCTGTTTTCAAGATTTTTTGCCACATTTTGTTTTTTGACCCTGCGTTGCCCCACAGAGATCGAGGACGGGCTAACCCAAGCTGTCTTTCCTCATCAAATACACTTCTTGTGTTGATTAAAACTCATTTGAATCTATTGGGATGCACAAAAAATGATTATGCAGTCAATTAATAAAATCACCAAAAATTGATGATTTTCATGAGAACTACAAATCGTATTGGATATCACATCTATGCAATGATCAAAGTGGTGTAAAAGCCAAGATATATTCCAGACATCATGTACTTTCATTATCAGCAATAAAAACTTAAGTATCGCCGTGATACGTACTATCGCGACTACTTAAAAAATTATCGAATTTTGTGTGTGAAAAAAATGATTAAAATGGAAATTTTTTAGATTCGTGGGAACAAATGTACCTCTGGAATTTTCCACAATCGATTTCATTGGTTGTTGTCGCATTTGAAAGGTGCATCCTTGTAGACTACGGAGACAATTAAGTTTAAAGTGCATCTTATAAATGAGTGGTGTTATGAAAATACATGTTCAAAAATGATTGTCGAAATCGTCATTTTTCCGATAGAGTCTATATAAAATACACTGCCAGTCTTTGGCCGTGGGGCTTAATGTGAAACGTGGGACAGTACTAATAGGATAAGCAAATTACTTTCTAAATAAATTAAGAACCTTATTAACCCTATTTTAAAAGATTTTTGGAGTTTTGAGAATGATTGAATTTAATTCAGTACCAAAAACTGAAAATAAACTTTGCCATCTATGTCGCCACACATTAAAAATGCAGTAAACCCAATAAATCATATACCGTTTGAAAGGTAATTTTATGATGAATCTAAAACAATTCGGTACCTTACGTTACTGCAACTTATCTTTATTAAATTTTACATTGAAAGTTAATTTTGCCAATATTTTCACTAATTTGGACTCAAACGGCCACTTTGGAAGTACCCTTCAGAAGTTTGATAGGATAATAATCTATATACTGTTATAAAGAAGACATTCAGAGCTATCATCTGGCGAAGTTTTATGCTTATACTTGCAATGAGCCTCGAAGTCGGCTTTTCCTACAATTTTTCATGTTTCGGCCAAATGGCTGGCGTAAAACACCACCAAACATGGCGCAAACCCCAAAATTTATATACCATTCGAAAGGTAATTTTATAATCAACACTGGAGTAAAACTCATTTATTTCATCTTTTATCCACCCAACAAATGAAGGATAAATTTGAAATCCACCAAAATCCACCCGTTATCAACTCAGTGAAGTGTGAGTGGAATCGAAATATTTTTTCAAAAAAAGGGGATCGATGAATGAAAAAATTAAGCGGGGAGCATTTATGGGGAAAATAAAAAAACGCCTCGAGGGGTCAAAACCCCCCAAGGTATGATTTTTTTAAATCTGGAACTCAGAAATTCGGAATCAGCATGCAAAAATACTTAAGAATAGATATTTTTCTCATTCACCTTTTTGGCCAAGTTTCAGTGTCCTATATGGGGTCAAATCTTACAAACGTAATAATAAAACGTAATAGATTTCTCTCTGTGTACTTTCATTTGCTCTGGTGTTGAATAATGAGCCTTCTGGCTTTTTGGTTCGGCAGTCATTTTTGTTCCACTTCATCTCGGATTTTGGCCAATTCTGGCCTTCATCCGCCGAACTATTTCTGATGACGTAGCTGCCTTTTTTAGTTAAAAAACCCATTCGGCCTCTCAGACGTTGGTCTTGGCCGGCGAAAATTAACATCTGCGGATGTGAAAAATAACATATGCCCCAAATGTCTTTGCACTAAATTTAGGCGTTTATTGCGCTACATAAACAAAATTGAAAATGTCAACCAATGCACATAGGAGACTTAGCGGGACTCCTACTCCACTGTCAAACACAAACCACTCAATTATATTCATTCGCGATGGCATACAAATTGGATTTACGGAAAAGTGTCTCAAATGGTTTTGGACAGCTAAATTCAAAACAAATTCTGCATGTGTCTATAGATGAACCAATCTGTCTTCGAACCATGTATCGTGTTTCATGGATTTAATATGAATATAAAGATTCTATTGGGTGTAGGCATTAATTTCCGGAATTTTTTTGGTTCAAAGAAACATTTATTAAAAAATAATAAGAATGAGTACATTAACCAATGTACTGCCCATCGTTAGCTATGACTTCCGCCCATCTTCTTGGTAACTTGTCGATTCCGCGTCGAAAGAATTCCTCATCTTTTGGCGATATCCATTCATCGATCCATTTTCGCACTCCTTAAGCATTTCGAAACGATATCTCAGACAAGCCCATTTGCATCGATCGAAACAAGTGGTAATCAGAAGGAGCAAGGTCTGGAGAGTACGGGGGGTGATCAAGCCGATCCCAACCGAACGCCTCTATCTTTTGTTTGACGATGTGTGCTCGATGTGGCTTAGCATTGTCGTCGTGAAACAAAACTCGATGGTGTTTTCTCGCTACCAACGGCCGTTTTTCGTTCAATGCATGCGCCAATTTGTTCAATTGTTGTCGATAGCGTTCAGCTGTAACCGTTTCACCTTGTTTTAGCAGCTCATAATACACGATACCTTTCTGATCCCACCATATGCACAACATAACCTTCTGGCAATGAATATCTCGTTTTGGCTGCGAAGATCCTGTTTGGCCTGGATCAACATACGCTGCTTTACGTTTGGGGTTGTCGTAATAGACCCACTTTTCATCGCCCGTGACAATTCGACTCAAAAAACTATGTTTTTTGTGTTCTTTAAGATGTTTTTTGCATGCTGTGATTCATGCTTGGAGCTGATTTTCAGTCAGTTGATGTGGTACCCATTTTCCCAACTTTCGAATCTTTCCCATTGCATGCAAACGTCTTGAAATGGTTTTTTGGTCGACATTTAACTTCATTGCGAGTTCTTTTTGGGTTCGGGCCGAGTTTTCATCCAATAATGCTTGCAAATCTTCATCTTCTAACTTTTTTGGCTGACCTGGGCGATCTTTGTCTTGAACATCAAAATCACCACTTTCAAATCGTTGAAACCACACGTAACATTGTGTTTTTGAAAGAGCATGTTTGCCATACAATTTCACAAGTAAACCACGACTTTCAGCTGCAGTTTTCTTTGCAAAGAAATAGCTTAACAAAACTTCTCGCAAATGCTGTTTCTTTCTCCAACTTTCAAAATTTTCCATCGTTGAAAAAAAATATGATGCGCACAAACAAATGAAACACTCTTGACTGATTTTGACAGCATTTGAATAGGTCTTTCAAACGACATACATGTCATTGATCTTTTACAACGCAAAAGCAAGTGGTGACATCTGATGTCAGATTCCGGAAATTAATGCCTACACCCAATATAAAAACCAAAAAGTCCGGTATTCCCAATTTAAATGCTCAAATCCTTCAAAATTGTTATCAAGTACCTAAAACCGGGTTGGTCAAGCAAATGTTCATTTTTGGTGATTCTTATGGTTACAGCACATCCAAATTTAAACCAAAACAATGTATTTAGACACGATCATTAGGAATCAGCAAAATATGTAATGAAAAAATTCAATAGGGTGTCAAAAATTGGGTATTTACTTCACCTCATAGCATTTTGCACTGAAAAATTCATCATTTTGGACAGAGAAACATTCATCGCTATATCGAACCATGAATCAAGTGCAAGCGGTTTCTTTTGCATTGGTTATGTTAGGGCACTACTATATAAGGCTAGAGACGTCGACAAACCGAACTTTGATAAAGGGGTGTTTGTATGGTAGGATCTTCTTTGGAAGGAACACTTTCCTTCTTTCTTTCGAACATTTATGAAAAAATAATAAAACAAATAAATTTCTTTATAACCAGTTAAACATAAAAATAGCCAAATACTTTTTGTAATTGGCCCACGAGGCTGTTAAAAGTATGATGTTACTATGTATGTAAGTTTATAATTTATTGTAAGTTTGCATATAGCATTAAATTAAATAAAGAAATAAAGAAAGAAATAAAGAAGGTGTTTTAGAGCCATTATTCGAAAATTTAATGCTAAAAATGAAGGTTAAACCTCCATTACTTACCTTGTTATCAACCAAATATTGTTGAAATCGATAGAACTCGTTGAGAACTATCTGATTAAAGACAGAATTGTGCTTTGCAAGCAGAAAAAATCACAATAATGGCTCACTTCTTAAAAAATAGCATTTCCATGAAAAAGGGACCATCTTTTTAACTTCACAAAAAGACACCAAATTAATTATTTCTAGTCTGTTTTTGGATGTAAATTTTTAATAATTTTAAATAATTTTTTGGATAGAAATCAACAAATCGGTTGTTCAGAACATAATTTTGATGGTTCGACGCATACTGAGAAAAATCGAAGACAATGGTCCGTTCAGTGCAAAGTGAATGTGCTATTCGATAGCCTATGAATAAAGGTTTATACCAATAAAAACGAATTTAATATTGTGTGTTCGTTGTTCAAATGGCGAACGTCTGAATTTAGTGCAAAGACCTTTGGGACATATGTTAGGAGAATGATACGTTGAACACAATAAAAACAAGAAAAGTATTGGAAGTATAAATATATAAATATAATGTCGCATTCGTATCTAACTTCACATCAATCATATGTACCATTGTTTTGACATTGACAGCTATTGTATCTTAAAGAGCGTCAAAAAATCTATTAAAAACCATCTGTCACAGTGAACACAAGTTTACACACAAAAATTTTCTATTACGGTGAAAATGTCGACTTTCGTGGTATCAAAAGATCATTTGCGGGAAGTGTTAATTTACTTTTTCCATTTGAATAAAAACGTATCTGAAGCACATCGTTTACTCACTGAAGCTTATCCTGACTGTGCTTTAGACTTAAGAATGTGTCAGCGTTGGTTTGCACGCTTCAGAAATGGTGATTTTAATGTTGAAGACAAGGAGCGTGCCGGAAGAGAAAAAAAGTTTGAAGATGAAGAATTGGAGGCATTACTCGATGAAGATCCGTGTCAAACTCAAGAAGAACTTGCAAAATCATTGGGAGTCACTCAAGCAGCCATTTTACAACGTTTGAAAGCAGCAGGATTCATTGAAAAGCATGGAAATTGGGTACCACATGAACTGAAGCCAAGAGACGTGGAAAGACGATATTTTACCTGCGAACAGCTGCTTCAAAGACAGAAAAGAAAGGGATTTTTGCATCGTATTGTCACTGGTGATGAAAAGTGAATTCACTACGATAACCCAAAGCAAAAAAAAGCATATGTGAAGCGCGGCCAACCAGCACCATCGACATCAAAGCAAGATATCCACGGATTTAAGGTAATGCTGTGTATTTGGTGGGATCAACGAGGTGTGGTGTACTATGAACTGCTAAAACCGAATGAAACCATTGATGGGCCACGCTTCCGATTACAATTGAAGCGTTTGAGCCGAGCATTGCGCGAAAAACGGCCAGAATATGAGCAAAGACACGACAAAGTTATTCTTCAACATGACAATGCTCGGCCACATGTTTCAAATGTCGTGAAGACATACTTGGAAACACTTCGATGGGATGTGCTACCCCACCCGCCGTATAGCTCAGACATTGCTCCTTCTGATTATCACTTGTTTCGATCGATGCAGGACAACCTGGCTGGTACACGATTTACTTCTTCTGAAGAAGTCAAAAAATGGGTCGATTCATTCATCGCATCAAAAGATTAACAGTTCTTCCGACACGGAATCCGTATGCTACCAGAAAGATGGGAAAAAGTAAAGGCTAGTGATGGGCAATACTTTGAATAACACTATTGTACAACCTTTTTCTCAATAAACGTTCAAATTTTGAAACAAATGCGACATTATATATTTATACTTCCAATAGGTGTCATCAAAAAATTTAAAACAAAAAAAAAACTTTCATACAAAAAATTTAAAAATATAAAAAATGGGATCAAAAATCGACTTTTCTTGGGGGTGATTGGAGGGGGTTCCCGATGGCAAAAATAAAATGTGCGAATAAAATAACGATTCGCCGGTATACGATGACGAAAGACAAGAAGAAAATAATTTCGTTGCAATAAAATGTGGATTGCAAACAATACTTCGACCCGAGCATGCAGCAGTTGTGACGCAAATATTGTTTGAGCGCAGTCTTCAAATGACGGAAGTTGCCTCATTGGCCTCACTCGATAATGAAGCACTCGATAATGAAGATCGTCAGTACTTTTTGCGACGGGATCGTCGACAGTTCTTCTTCGATTGCTTCAATGCGGTATTGGCCGAAAATGTTTACAATAATAATAGCCGAAATCCCATACCGCCAGAGTTTCGGTTCATGGTCGAAAACTTCAGTGATGAACAGTTCGAATGGCCAAGCAAGGAAAAGTTGGAGAATGGTTTTCGTTATTTTGTCAAACAGCACATCGCAAATACGAAAACTGGTCTTATCACTTGGTGTGAAGATCGACTTGAGTCATTCTTTCGAATGTGATGCTGGTATCGCAATCACAACATCTATGGACCGAGATTTGATGGCATCGACATCAGAAATGCCAAAATGTTAGCATATCGATCCAACGACTTGACAAATGGTAATGTGGAAAGAATAGAAAAGGCCAACATTTTATTGGATGATCTGGTTGCAATTGGATGTCGACGCGAAAGATGCATAATTTTTTTTGGTAAAAGATCATTGGTTTGAATCGTTGTGGTTGTTCGGACAAATGCAACGTCAAATAGCAGCTTATCACAGTGATGCCGCACAATGGAATAACATTCATGTAATATTTCGTGACAATCCGAACTTTCAACAGCGAACAAACAATCGCCCACGGAAAATAAACGGGTTTGCTCTTATACCGCCATGCGATTATCATTTGAAGTGCGTGTGATTGGATATGAGAGATTTGTACGAAAAATTGGCAAGCAAGCTAAAAGTGGTGCCCAGTTCCCTGAATACTGATACCAGACGGCTAAACAAATACCCTGAAAAATACTACAAAGATCATGATCGGTACTGTACACCAAACCAGAGCGGGCGTGCAACGAAAATGTGTATTTACAGGCAGACAATTCTTGTGGGCAAGAAATACGTTATTGGCATTAATCCGAATGAAAAAACGTGGTTGGCTATAACGCGTTGCAACATCCCGAAAACACCTGATGAACCGGCCGTTGAGGTGAGATATTTTGAAATCTAATTTGAAATGTGTTTGAATCGAAACTCATTATTTTTTATCAATTTGAATTATTAAGGAAAACATCACAATACCAAACACGCGATTCTACTGGGGAACTCGGCAGAAACGAAGAGAAAAAGAGGCGAATAAATTGGCTGGATGGTTTGATATCGAGGAAAAGAATCATCTGAAGTCATATCCATTCAGTCCACCATCACCACGTAACTCAACATGGCAATGGTACATTGAGTATCGTATCAAAATGCTACGAAAAGGAATGTCAGCATATGCAACGCGTAAATATTCACGATTGGATTTGGATCATTACATTAAGTCGAACTACGTAAAGTATAAAATCGCCGTGACAGTGACCAACAACATGCCGTCAATGATTATCTTCGGTGCATCGGAGATGGCACCCAATCAGACATTTGGCGTGAAGAAACGTAAAAGATGTCCAGGATCGCGAAAATTTTTGGTGAGCGTTAAGAAACTGTAGTGGGAAGTGAGGGAGATTTATATAACTAACTTAATCCCACTATTGGTGGAGTCTAAAAGATACATTTTATTGAAAGAAACTGAATATGTATTTATTTGAAGAAGAACGGCAAGGTGTTACATGTTACTTGATTAATGATCTAATTGGAACTCAACGTTGGTGACGCAGCACGGCTAATATATATATCGTAGCTTGACTTGTGTATTGGGCGTGCGGCGTTGCCAACGTCATGTTTATATGAGTTAAACTGAGCTAAGTTGCTCAAAGCTTATAATTTTAATTTTTTGTTTTTGAGCAATAAATGACTTGATGATAATTAAATTTTTTGTGAATTGAAATGAGAAACACTTTTATAGTCATTTACTAATTTTTATTTTGTTTTACTACAAATTTAATTATGCTCAAAGCTTAACTTATGGTGAATAGACCGCGCCCAGATGGAGACGGTCCAAGTATTATGTGTGAGAGGTTAGTAGCTCGGATGGAGCTCACTACAAAACTTGGCCATTCAGTGTTGAAAATGGAAGATGAATGGGGAACATCACAAATATGCGCGAATTGCCAAAGAAAGATTTCCAGTGAAAACAAAAAGGCATCGATTTAAAGTCTTCCAGATATAATTGTGGCAACGGTTAGAAAACGTGCTTTGCAAAAGGGACGGAAAAAAATTCGTCGAATTCGCTATGGCAATTATGCGGATGTGGATACTTCGAAATGGGCGTTTAATGTCAAAGGTTAAAGTTACCTACAAAAATTGGCCATTAAATGATTGCTATAGAATAAAAACAGCGTATGGAAAGGTTGCATTTCAAAGCGAAACACCGTCATACAAAATACAGCAAAAAATGTATGTAAAAACAAACTTTGGTGTGCGACCGTATCATACGCTGTATTTATTCTAGAGAATTCAAATGTTCAGGATCATCATCATGATGCTTCATAGACAGTGGTTTGGCACCGAGATATTGTTGCTGCAAAATGCATTATGCTCAAAGGTATGAATAAATTGAAAATAGAGTCTATTCATTGTTTAATGTTTTTGCTTATAATTACACAGGACTTTGTCGGATGTTGCCGTATTAGTGCCTGATTCGTTGAGAAGACCACCAAACAATGTCAACTGACAAGCAGCAGCATTGAATCCATAAATTATTAGATAAAATAAATATTATAACGATTAGTTATACAAATTTGGTGGCCTTGTTTGTGCGTTCATATGAACAGTACAACGGTAGTACGGAGGGATACAGTAAATATTTTTCAATTAGCAATTTGCACTAATTTGATTTTAAAATGAATTTTAAGCAAAAAAAAAAAAAAAAAGTAAATTTCGGAATGAAATATACAAACTTTTTGAGACAATTTTATTGTTTATATTTTTTTTTCAACAGTAATAATTTGATTATCACATTTCATTATTAAAAATGAACTAAAAACATAGTAATAATACATACAACTAATTTTTGCGAAAACTTTGCAGAATTGGAAAAATATTTTCAAGACTTTCTCTAATTTCAATTTTAGTTTTGGCTCCGGTGAAAACAATTTTTCCATTAACGAAAATTAATAGCACAACACGAGGTTTCACCATGCGATAAATTAATCCGGGAAATAATTCCGGTTCATACGAGCTAAACTGACCATGCATCTGATTCAAATATTCCAAACGTATCGGAAAACGCAGATCGACTGTGGCAACTAAATTTTGTATTTTAAATTCCGTGAATTTTATCTGAAACAAATAACAAATATTTAGAAAAAATCATTTTCACAGTACATTTTAACCTACTTACTGGATAACCAAGCTTTTGTAGAATTCTAGCAAATTTGCGTGTCCCCAAATTAGCGTCAACTTCATTGCGAGCACCAGTACATACCTATAAAGTTACCGCCAAAAAACATAGATTTATATATACTACATAATATCTATACATTATTAATAGTAACTATTTTAAGTAAAGAACCACACTATACATACCACTTTTCCGGAACGGAATATAAGTGCAGTACATCGTGGCTCCCGAATTCGCATGATGACACCATGAAAGCGGGATGGATTGTATTCAGAATTTCTTGTTCGAAAGTTTATTTTTCGTAAATTTAGATCGCATCCTAAGTGTAATATAAAAATAATAATAATAATATAAATATAGATGAAATATACAGTATGACACAACTTATCACAACAATTGTTTATTACTTAAGAATCGATCACAAAGTATTGAATCGTCTCTGATTTACCTAGGTTAACCGTTGCCACACAATTCTGAATTTTAATGGCATTAATTGCATCTTGTGGTTCAGCTGAAGGCATTGGACTCTGAGCAACAATATTACATTGTGGTAGTAATGATTGTGAAATCGAAATATTTTGTGAAATTGAATTCGTATGTGACATGGATTGTTGTGGTGATAGTTGATATGTCTATTATATTGAAGATATTGTTAATTACCAAATAAAGTCGAAAAATGTAAAAAAAATTACATTAGACAATTAGTTAAATTCATATTACCTTAGTTGTACCACCTACTGTACCATAGAATGGCGAACCAACGCCAAATGATTTACTTTGTGAAAGTTTGTTATCCATTGTAAATTCCATATGATATTTAATTTTCTTGTCTTTTATTATTGGTGCCAAAATTATTTCTTCTTTGTTTATTTTTTTTTTGTTCAAGAAGCTAAATATTTAAAGCACATTGCTTGCAGAGTGTGGGCATGTAAATGACAGAAAGAGACCATTATATGACTATTGAAAAAAGATAGCTATATTGTTTGTTTCTATATATTTTACTATGACACTTTGAAGAACCGAATTATTTCTTTATATATTTAAAAAAATAATAATAATATAGTAATTCCATAATTAAAGTCCTATTGAAGACACAAGTTTTTTCAAATAAAATATATACACGAATTATTTAAAAAAATATAATAATGGATAATAAAAAAACACAACGGTCACTTTTCAAAATGGCGTCATGCAATCTATATATGCGTATGAATGTGTGTGTAAAGGTTTTGGTGCACGAGCGTATACACATACTATTAATAATACATATTCTGTGTAGAGTTTTGTACCGCGGCGGCCATATTATTGTCAATCTCAATTTTGTAATGAAGTGAGAATAGCGTCAGTCAGTGAATTTAATAGAAAAGTTTGTTAATTTCCACTCAAAATTAGTTTTTTTGTAACATTTGTTTCAAAAGATAAACTGTGTTTATCGCTTGTAGAATAACGCCAAGTTGACATATAAGCTATTAATATTTGCGAAAAGTGAAGAATAGCACTAGGGAAGAAAGTGAAGTTTTGAAGAAGCAGAAAGTGAGTGAAAAATGAATTGTAATCATATAATGTTAATTTTTCGAACAAATAAAAACAAATTAAAAGTTATCATAACAATTTTAATTTTTTTAGAATCTTCTCAGCGTCTCAGGTGAATACGTAGTGAAATGGGGAAAGAAATTGATCCAGCCGATATTGGAAAATATCCCGAAGTTATTAAAAAGGCACAAGCTGAAATGTCGAATATAGATGTTCTTGTTTGTGGTCAATGTAACAACGTTTTTCACTTTATTGAAAATTTTCGTGAACATAAAACCATACAATGCTCAAAATCGTTGACGCTTAAAGATAATTTGGAAACAAAACCGGTGATTTGGTCCTTTTTACTTTGGAAAGCATCCCAGTTGAATCAAGATCAATCAAAGGAATCGAACTCTTGGCGTCTGTATCAAAACTGGATGAAATTGGATGAGGCAATAAAAGAAACTTGGGTTGTTGCTGGCCGCACAATTCAGTCTTTTGCGAAAATTGGACAAGGTAGTTTACAGGAGATGCCTGTAAAAATTACAAAAACTGTTGTAGATAATTCAGCTGAAGCATCACGCGGACGACAGTTAGTAACAAATCGTGTGGTTAATAAAACACCGATGTCACAAAAAGAGCTGGATGCTAGCTTTAACGAATTGAAAAACAGTGAAACATCAACACCACTTGGAACGAAGCGAGCTATTGTACGTTCACCACCTTCTAAGAATATACTTACAAGAGTTGGTGCGACCATCGTTCAATCAAAGCCTGGTATAATGGCACGTGAAGCTTGGCGTACGATGGGGAACTCGACCAACGGCAACGTACAAACAAAAGAACATCGCATTGAGAAAATTTTGGCAAAACGTTTTAATCCACGTCAAAAGGAGCATGAATACTTAATCAAATGGGAAAATGTATCCCATGAAAATAATACATGGGAGCCAGCTTCTCATCTTGAACCATGCCCAGTCCTACTAGATACGTTTGAAAAACAGTTAGCGCGACAAAAAGAGCAACGACAAGCTCAAGCTGCCAAACTTGCTCAAGCTCAAGCCCAGCAGCAAATACAAGATGAGAGCAAAGCAAATGATAGTGTATCAAGTCAGTCAGAGGATGATAGTCTATCCGGAATGAAACGAAGGAAATTAGAAAATTCGCCTATTAAAGGTATAAATAAGATCGATACAAATTCTTTCAATCGATCTATTGTTGGAAAAACCAAACCAAATGGTATACAACACATTTCGAATGATAAATCCGCAGAAGTTGTAATCACAAATTCAAAAGATGGTAAACAGACTGGCATTGTAAAAAAGACTGGTGTATCGATAAATCCAGCTCCGAAGAACGAAGCACAAGTGAAGGTCATTCCCAAAGGTGGTGATTCTGTTAGTGGTGTTGTTCGTGTAAGCAGCACACAAAGAATTATTCAAAAATTGGGCAGCACTACGGTAAAAACTGTACAAAACAATTTACGACCAGCGATTAAAACCCAACAAAAAGCGACATCAGTAGCAATTGCTACACCGACTCGTAATCAACCAGTGAGTATTAACTATCTTCAGAAAAGTACACTTCTCATATACAATATCTTAATACAAAATAATATTTTCAGATGCATTCATTAAGTACAGTAAGTCAACAAACAAGATCTGGAGTAAAGCCAACAATAACACGCGTAGTTAAAAGTACGCCAACTTCGAAATCTACAACACCCGAACAGAAAATTGCCGCACTTACACGACAAGGTAACTTGAAAATCACCAGAAAATTCATAAATGCGCCGATTAATGCGCAATCGATAGCCTTGCAAGGTGGAGAAGAATTTAATTTGAATGAATCATTTTCGAATGTGGAACCAACAACCAAAACTGAGACTCAAGAACAACAACAACAGCAAATGCCAATTGTTGCAACACAAATTTTAACTTCAGTTGACACCCCGAGTGCATCATCTGTTCCCTTGATTGATACCTCAAATTTGGAACAGAACATAAACGAAATTAAAAAAGAGAACGAAGACATTGTCATGAATGAAGAACAACTACAGCAACTGCAACAAGCAGGCGGTATTGTTACTGATCAAGATGGTATACAACAAATTTTGGCAGCAAGTGAAGATGGAAGTCAGCAATTGATACAGTTCGTTACTGGCGAAGATGGCACAATATATCAAGTTGCTGGTAAAAAATAGCTATCCTTATTTTAGTAAACTAGACTCCTACTTTATCATGAAAATCTCTTATTTTTTTTAACAAAAATCAAAATTCAAATATCTCTATAATAAAAGTATTATTCAAGTATATTTTGACCAAGTTAACAAAAATATTGCTGAGAAAATAATTTTTTTACAAAATATAATTGCTTTTTTCTGGTCAATTTCAGGCAAAAACGAGCAGGGCCAAACTATTTTGATTGCACAAGGAGCAGACGGTGACCACGTTTATGTTGCAGCTGAGGACAGTGAAGCACTTGGCTTAGATGAAGGAAATAATGGAGTTTTATCAATTGATGGGAATTTGGTTGAAGCTAATTCAGAAGTTCAGCAACAATTACAACAACAATTGGTTGGTGATAGTGGACAACAAAGCATACACTTTTCCATTGGTACAGATGAAGCATCTGCAGTTCAAAACGTGCATCAACCATTGGCAGTGGCAACCGAAGATGGTGACTCACAAGATGGACAAATTACAGCCGAAGTAGTACAGGCTGACCTGCCATCTCCAGGTTAAGATTTTATATATTTTATTTTGTTTTTGATTGTGACATTTCACTCACCTCATCTTTATTTATTTTAATTCAGGTGGAACACGAAGAGTAGTTTTACAACTACCAGATGGTACTTTTATGGTTACAGAAGTCGATGAAGAACAGTTCAAGGCTCTAAATATGCAAGGTTAAGCTATATAGGTTTTATTTAATTATAGTATACTAGTAATACAAATAGTTTTAATACTTTCTTTAAGAATAGTAACGTTTTGAAGACAAATAAAATCTTTAAATAAAAATTATCAATAGACATTCTAAAATAATATTTTTTAGGAAAAAAATAACCTAACAATTTGCATTCTAAATCTTATGTCAATTCAGAAGACATAAAAACCTATTTGCTAGAAAATAATAAAAAAAGATAACTAACTACAACTACAAAGCAGACCAGCTTCGTAGCGTGACCAACATTATTAAATTTAGTTTCTTGTGGATTTGTTTAGATTGAATGTGTTAAATTTATTTGAAAGATTAAAAACGAAAAGCTGTGTTTACTACACAACCATTTTTTGATTGATTGAGTAAAGCATTTCCTTTATATTGGCATTAATAAAGATGATACATTAAAAAAACCTTGACAGATTTTTATCAACAATTACTAATTCTAGTATTTACAAAATGAAGTTATTAGACTTACAGTGGGTCTCACATGCTTGGAGCCAATTAACAAAAGCTTCTAATAAAATTTTGTTCTTTTCCATCGCACATTTATACTGATTCAACATTTATTTTCAAGAAAAAATCAGTAGCTTAATCACTACTTTTCTATACTTAAGACTGTTTTCAAGATGTGACTTTGGTAGTGCCAATATGGCCAAACATGGTAATTTTTTTCATATGGCTTCTGTAGCATTTCAACTTGACATATCCAGGACATATGCAAATCGTTGGGAAGGTCTTAAAGTAAAATATCGAATAGTGCTAATTGCGATTTAAGAATGTCAAGTTGGGAAAGTTACTTCAAAGTTTCTTTTGAAAATCTCATCGATTTATGCCCCAAGTCAAAGACGAAAAAATCACACACCACTGGAAATTGGTCGTCCGTATGAGCCATTTGGAGCAGAAAAAATAACCTAAAAGTCCATATTTTCATTGTATTTCTAAATTATTCAAATTCATGTATGGAGAAGTTTTGAATCTTTCGCAGCAATGAAACGACAACAACAATAACACGTATTTTTAATAACAAAATTTTGATGTCAGATGGTGATGATATTTTGAAACTTACTTTGTGATCCATACACGTCGTATATGTTCCTATGTGTAGTTCTGTACTCGATCTAGTTCAAATATTCGTTTGTGTCTACTATAGTGAACATGCCGTCTATTACATGTACGTTATAATGGACAAGTATAGTAACATGGCGTCGTTAAAAAAAATTTAAATAAAAAGTCTTACGGGAGTAAGACGAACTTTTCCGCACGGTGGTAGTTGCGTATTTTAATAAGCAAGTTCAAAATAATATTTGTTCGATTTTTCAAGCCTTTCAAGTGGCGTAAAGTTCGAGACCAAAAAATATGTTCAAACCTTGGCGTCGAAATATTCTTTAATTTATTAGCAGAAGAACCCGAGAAAAGATTTTTCACACTTTCATGATGAACCCATTTGTACGACATTTGAAAGTATTCTATTTCACAATAAAATAACATTCGGAGGGTTTGGAGAAATTTCAACCAAAATTAATGGTTTTGAAAAATGAAAATTTTGTATGAAAGGTACTCCTAATTTTGATCAAAATCTCTTCAAACCATCAGAATGTTATTTTTTTTCTATAAAAAATAGTCTGTGAAAAGTTTCAAGTCATTGAGGTAGCATACAGACATGGCTCCCATACAAAAATTCAATTTTTTTGTGATTTTTCCAAGGAAACTGTATCAAAAGTTGATTGTATCTCAAAACTAACTTCGGATTCGGTTTTCTCGTGCCAAAAAACTCCCAATTCATATTTTTGAGTGTTTAAGTCTACATAAAGTATGACTTTTGGACGAAATTTGGACTGTTTTTCATAGGTATCACTCCAGGCATGAAATTTTTTTCCATCAACAAAAGTCGCTCAAAATCTAATGATTTCTATTCCTTGCGACCCCCAATCATCCTGTAAAGTCAGATTTTGAATTAAGTTTCTACGATGAGCGCAATCTTGCTAACAAATTTTGCGTACGACGTACGACGTACAGATTAACAAAAACCATGTTTAAAAATGCCAAATTCGTGTTCTCTGACCTCAATAATAGGTAGAAAACATATTTCTGAAGTTTTCAAAATTTTGACCGATTACAATACTTCTCACCTTACACTATGTGTGCGGAAAAGTAAAACACCATATAGCTCGTCAGTAGAGATTTCATTGCTGTGGAATCTTTTATTTGGAAAATGCCGCAATATACAAGTTCTAACGACTGCCCGAAATTCTTGAAACTGACTCTGATTCTAACAATGCCAATAACAGGATCTGCCAAGAAGAGCATAAGACGTCGGCGCCACATTCCATTTGCCATAGTTTCCGTGTGAAACCAAAAATGTGAAGACATACGTTTGGGTGTAATTCGATACATGCGGGGCAAACCGATACATATATGGGGGCAAATTGATACACCTTGACATTTTCGAATTTTTGCAATATTTTATAATTCAGTTTTTATTTCAAAGTGTAAAATCTACAAACCACAGATTCTGAATGAGACTTGAATCTGTATTTCAACGTTCAACTATCATCTTACGCATTTCTCTCACAGTTTATTTATATAATGAAAACTGGAAAAATCTTTAAATCGATTATTCTTGCTTTTACGATGGGAAATTCGTAAAAAAAAAAAACCATGTTAGCCCAACTTCTAGATCACATTGGGCCAGGTTGGATCCACCTCCTCCTCCGGATTTACCTCAAACCATGTACATCTATAATAGGTTATGATATTTTGGTTTCTAGGTAAACTACATTCACACGAATGAAGCATTCACACACGAATGAAGCATTCACACACGAATGAAGTGTTGGGCTAACATGGGGGTGAAATGCAAATAACGATTTTTTCAAAAAAGAAATATATTTACATTTTTGAGTTTGGATTCCAATTTTTGTAAATTTGTAGCAACGAAATGAAGGAGAGAAAAAATAAAGTAAATGTTTCGATAATTTTTCAAGTTTGAATTGAATTTAATTGATAGCCCGGCGGGAGAAAAATTTTAAACAATGAAATGAAGAAAAGAAATAAAATATTTTCGAGAAAATTTGTCGCACTGCATACGAATAAATCGAACTAAGCCAATAAAAAATTAACATGGCGGATGGTGTTGTCGCAATTAAACTGGTCCAGTTCACATGTTATTTTACTACTCTCGTGTGTTTTGAGTTTTAAGTTTTTTAGTTAAGCTAAGTTAAATTAAATAAAAATAAAAATTGGGATCAAAACTCAAAAATGTAAAAATATTTTTTTTTGAAAAAATCGTTATTTGCATTTTACACAGCTTACCAATCCAACCATTCCATCTATTTTGCTAATTTGATACCATACGTAATTTCCTTTTGGGTATTGAAAATATGACTGTATCAAAAAGATTGACATTTCTAGGGTAATTTTGGGGCGCTCTATCGATTTGCATCATTAATTTTTTCATCCGACCCCCCTTCCCCCTTTTTGGGGGGCTTTGTTATTTTTTACCCCCAAAATATATACAGACTTCCATTTCAGTGTCAAGATGTAAAACACGGCTAACGGACATTAGTCCCCAAATCCATCCATCCATCCATCCATCCATCCATATCCATGGATGAATACATGGATGGTCAGTGGATCTTGGATGGATGGGGAGTGGATGATGAATGGATGGTTATTGGATGATGATTGGATGATGGATGGATGGATGGGTGGTGACTGGATGACGAATGGATGATGAATGATGGACGGATGGATGGATGGATAAAAAATAGATAAATATTGGAAACAAATAATGTTGAAGGTATAAGAAAATGTATGTATGGATGGGTGGATGGATGGATGGATAAATTACTTCCATTAGTAGGAACTTCCAAAGAAGTGTTTTGTATTTGTTTTTACATTATATAAAAGTTTTCTGTTCGCGTTCGGCATATTTTCGAATTTATGAGTATGATACGACTATGTACTCAAATCTGTAAAAGGAACATTTTCAGGACTGATTTTGGTGTCAAGAGTGTGAAGAGATTGAAATTTCGGTTTTTTTTAAATATAAAGTTCCACCAAAAAGAGGCCAATAAATAGAAATGGGAGGTGACGTGTATTACATCGTTGGAAAGATATTTACGACATGAATCCAATGCAAAAGTCAAATTTACAATTGAATCGCTTATAATAAAAGTAGTGAATGAGAAAAAGTGAAAATAAAAGTCGAACATAAAGTTTTTTTTATATTGACAAAATCCATACAAAAAAAACTTTATGTTCGACTTTTATTTTCACTTTTTCTCATTCACTACTTTTATTCTAAGCGGTTCAATTAAGCTTATAACCAAAAAAAAATTCTATGCCTTATTTTCGAGTTTTGCCCAATGGCAATTGTGGTGGCGAATAGGAAATTGCGATAACTTTCCAACGAGGTATAACTTTCCATATATGTTGTTTCTTATGTTTGAGCACATTGATACTAGAAATATGGTGAACTTTTCGATTTTTTTGAATTTTTAAGAAGAAGTAATACGCCCCTAGAAAAATTCGAACCGGACTCAAGGGAACTTCTTTGAAGCAAAATTCGCCAAAACTTTATGAGTGGTTCTATTCCAGGGACGGAGTTTAGTCCGATTTCATTGACACCGTCCAATTTCTGGGCCGTTTGGTATGGTGAATTTGTATGCATGGTTAGCAAATCTAATTAAAACTGATTGCACCAATGTTCTCACATTTTTCGAAGCTGCACATTGGGCATATACGCAACGAAATCAACAAATTTGAAGAGACATTTTAGATTTTATATATTTAACATTATGAGGAATTATTTTGACATTATATGGCTTCACTTTTGCATTATTTGATTTTTTATCTTAGTAGATTGCATTGAAATTTTAGTACTGCTCCCATTAACGTTGTCTTAAACCGAAATTCATTTCATAAAAAAAGAATTTAGCTTCAGATAAAAGATTTTCAGTTCGGATTTTAAAATAAGAATCGCTTCGACTCGAAAACTGAACTTTTTTTCTTTGTGTGTATTATTTAAAACAAGAACCACGGACCAAAACTAAATGACCAAAACATTGTTGAACTATTATTATACTTGATATGGCGACCGACCCCTCCTCACTTTGTGGGCCTACCTATTTTTGTTACCCCCCAAATATCTACAGACTCCCATTTGAGGGCCAAGGACACGAAAAACACCCCCTCAATACCCCCCTAACTCAAAGTATTTTTTGATGCCCGATCGATTGGCATCATTTATTTTGACCCCCTAACACCCCCTTACCCCCCTTTTGGTTCCTATACACCCACCCCGATTTAAGGTCATTGGGGGTGAAATACCCCCGGGGTGTGTTCCTACGCCCAAAGT